TTTTGTTTTGTATTAAATTAATTGTTTTTAAATATTAATAAATTGTGATTACATTTATTTTTTTAAAGTAAATTAAATTTTGCAAACTTTTTTGTCACCAGAAAAAAGTAAATGCATTCAAATCAACAAAGAAAACAACGTTTTGAACAATTAAAACAATTCAATGATTTTGTCAAACATTGTGACCAATCGGTAAAGACATTGTGTGAACAACTGAATTGGGATCAAAATCAAGTGATGGTCACTGATGTAAGTGTTTGTTGTTGTTGTGGACATTGAATTCAATTATAATTAATAATTAAATACAAAAAATTTAATACAAAAAATTAAATAAATAAATATCGTATTAATTATATCCTAATTATAGTGTCAACCGATGGTAACCGAAATACCCGCCAAATCAATGAAAAAACAGACAGACATTAGCTGTCATCTCAAGACATGTGGCGATCAATATTTAGTAAGTTTTTTGTTTAATTGATTTTGTTTTTTAATTACTGTATTTATTTCAGTATATATGAAAAATATTTTAATATTACAGTAAATTGTGATAAAAATAGTTATTATTATTTGCAATATAATTCATTTCATACAATCATATACTGTATGATTGATATGATAACTAAATATTATGTAAAACAGTATATCGTATTAAAATGCATGCAATTTAATACATGAATCTAATTATTTATCTAAGTTTTTATAAGTTATTATTATATTAATATAGTTTTATTTATTTAATTTTTTTACATTACAATTTTATTTTTTATATGGTTAGTTAGATTAAATAAAACCCGATGGGAGTTATATATATCATATATATTGATGTATTTATATATTATATAATTTATATATAGCTTGATTTATGTAGTAAATGACTTTAATTGAATATAGTATTGTATTGGCTGTTAAATTGCATGATTTTATACAATATATCAATATTTACAAAACTGTTTGTTTAGTTGAACTAAACATTAGTTCCCAATGGCATTGAATTATAACTGTTATGTACTTTTTATTTCATTATTTTCATTATTTATTTAACATTTATTTAGCAATACTTTTATTTACAAAGACATAATACATGTGTTACTAATGATAGCATTTTGTGTTGTCGATCGCATTGATTATTATTATTATTATTATTATGGTTTAACTTTTTTTTTTTGTTTTTACTTGAATTATATGTAATTTGAAAGTATGTTTTATTTATTCAAGTAATTAAATATAATTTTTTAATTACCATAATAATTATGATTTAATAAATAATGATTAATAATTTTACATTATAAATAAAATATAAAAAAGTATATTTTTATGTGAAATTTTATTTAATATATTCATATATAAGAAAACATTGGATTTAATTAAATAAATAGTTTATATGATATATTGAAGTATTATTATAATTAAGTAGTTTTTAAATGAATGTCGAAACTATTGATGCAATTTGTAATTATGATATACTTTATTATAGACATCACTGCTTACGAGTTCAGTCCAATCTGACAGTCATTATCTAAATGAAAAACCATCAGTTGATAGACGACAACAACGTAAACAAATTGATGAAAAACTTTTAGGTAAATATTGATTATAATTGCAATATAAACATCAAATTCAATACACTATAACTTAATACAATATATACCATATTATCTATATTATATAACATTATATATATAACATATTAGTACAATATATTGTGTATACAGTATGCTATATAATGTAATGATTTTACACTATAACATATACAGTATAGTAACTTAGTAGTAGTAATATCTTTTATATATTATGTATTATTAGTTATATGATAAAATAATTTCCTGTTTGACTAATACCCTGCTAATACTATAGATTGTTTTCAACATAAACAAAAAATTAATTACCAGATTTAAACTTTGATTTTTATTATTTTTTACATAAAATTGATTAAAAAAAATCTTGAATAAAATTGCATTTGATTTTACTTTTACAGCAATAATAATAATATCATCAGATTTAAGCCACAAATGTGTTTTCCAATATTTGATTGGATTAATTTATATCCTTTTATTTATATATATATAGTATATATCAAATATAAAATCAATTAATACTACAGTATTATATAAACAGTATTTATTTTGTTGTAAAACTTAAGATTTCAATTGATATTTTCCATTAACTAAATATGAAACCATAAAAAATCCCCATTTGTTTGCACATAAAACACTTGAATTTGTTTGTGTGTGAAACAAGTGTTTTTGTATTCACTGTTAAAAGTGAATGTTTTTTTCAACAGTTATATCGATTTATAATTTTTTTTGACGACATTTGGTCTACCCTTTAGGCAAACCAATAGATGATGACTTCTTTCTTGGCTATCGATCGCATAATAATAATAATACCGATCCGTCAACTGAGCAACGATTAGCTCTCGACTATTACAATAATAATAGTCAACTAAATGTCACCGAAAATCCAGTGTCAATGTCTATACAGACAACAGAACTACTACTCGACGACACTGTAATACCGGATCAGTATTCTTCTCAACCGAACAAACAATCCGATTATAAACGAAGTGAAAGACGTTGTGTGAGAGTAGATGTTGACAATAGACGACTTGATTTGAATGAATCATTGAATAGGGATTTTAAGAGAAGACGTGAGTCTTATAGGATAAAAGGTTGTCCTCTACTTCACAGCAGCAAAGGAAACACATATACAGAGATCTTAAGGAAAGTTATTGATAATCACTCCTCGATGGCTGTGATCAATGAAGTCGACGACGACGTCGACGCCATACATACAGACCCAGTCAATAGCAATAATACAGATAATAACAACAACAATAGTAAATCAAATACAAATAATAATCATAAAGAAAGTGATAATAAAAGACTTGTTGTGAAAACAAACAAAAACAATGATAGCTATAAATCTGATTATCAATACTATAGTCGTCGACGACGTAAACATAAAAAACATGATGAAGAAGAAGAAGAAAAATCTTATAAAAGAAGAAAACATTATTATCACAAACATTGAATTATTATTATTATTTTAATAAACTTTTTTTACATTAAGATTTATAAATACTTAACAAACAAAATAAAATAAATTTTGGCAAAAAGTCTGCAAATATGCAATATTGTTGACTAACTTTTCTCTACTAGTTATTAATAGCTTATACTGAGATATACATTGTATAATACAGTATTATTACATTAAAATTATATACAAAGAGTAAAACAAATATATGAAATGAAAAAAAAATCTTTAAAATCGTATAATTTATTAATGAACCTGTCTCGCTTTTTTTATACATAACATTTACATAATTTTTTTATCACATATAAAATACAAAATATACAGTAATACTTATATTTTTTATGTAATATATTATTAATATATATATATATAGTACTTTAATAATGACTAGAAAATGTGTGTATGTGTCGATAATATATAATATATATGTATATCTAAATTGTTTTTTCATCTCTCTCTCTCTCTCTCTCTCTCTCTCTCTCTCTCTCTCTTTATTATAAAAAACTATTGTGTGATTGTTATATTGATTACATGTATGTTTTGTTGAAAATGAAAAATTGTTTGACAAAAACAACAATAAAAATAAATATATATCTCATTCAATGCATTTAAATTGAAGTAATGGTTCACTTTAGAGATGTCTTATTCAAGTCGTCTCTCAAAAAATGTTTCACTAATAAAAATAATAATAAAATTCGTGTATTGCTTGTTGTAGTAGTAGTTGTTGTGAATGTTGTCAATGATGTTGTGACACATCATTTAGAGTCAGGTTTTGTTAATCTCAAGAGTTGATGAAATACTACCTTAAAATAAATTCACTCATTTTTTCTTTTTCACTCCTCTCGAGTGTATAATAAACTTGCAAATCATTTAAGTAGTCAAATGTATGACTTTTTTGTCTCTATATATCATATATACAGTATATTATAAATATAACTCATAAGGTTATAGGTCTCTCTCTCTCTCTCTCTCTCTCTCTCTCTTAATGTTGACATTAAAAACCATTTTCTGATGGCTTTTTTGCTGGTATTGATGGGTAGTAGTAGTAAATTAGTTATCGTGCAAACACATCATCACTTAAAACGTCTCTCAATAGTATTGATAGTTTGTTTTTTTGGCATAAAAATTCAACTCAACTCTCAGTTTCCAACCATAACTCTAACATCCATTGGATCAGAGCAGTTGTATCACAGCCAACCATCCTTTTTAAATATTACTCTATACTCTATATACCGGTACATTACATACCTATATAAATATATATAACTTATGTATATAATATTAACTATAATTTCCTAATAGACTACTACTACTACTAAGCTTGTAAGCATATATAGACCTGATTTTATACAAATCATATATCGTTTATAATTTATAATATTATATAAGAGACACTATTCTCATCAATGGCAATAAATTACACAATTTATAACAAGGCTTATAACTTATATACATATATATATATACAGTATATAAAATTCTTGGTATAAATAATAAAATTAGAGAGAAAACCGTACAAATTGTTATCCACAGTGTGTCATAAATATTATGTTGGGCCCCCACTTGGGGGCATTCAAACTACATGTATATGCAATCATTTATTATTATTAACAGTTTATCATATCGTATCTGATCCATAAAATTTTTATGAAAATAAAATCACTGATTATTATATTGAATGCACTACTAATCTATCGTTTATGTGGAAAATATATGTTATCATGTATTGAATGCCAAGTTGTTGTCATTATCAATTTATTATTATTATATAATAGTTAAGTTTTTTTTCAATATATATACAGCATATATATAAAAATAGGACGAATTTAAGTCTTATAATAATAATAAAATGTCAATAAATTAAGCCCAAAATTATATATTATGGTAAAAGAGTTGACATAACACAAGACTTCAATTACCAGCCGTTAGACAATACTGTTTATCATCTAAAATAAAATCCAACATTAATTTGGTGTTAACGATGAAGAGTTAAGAGTTGATTATCATTTTTCATCAGAGAAGTCACATATAAACACAGACACACACACTATGTCATTGACAATACAGTAATATAAATACAATTTTCATTTGCTTTTGCAGCTGTTTTTCTTTCAACTGATCCATTAAAAGTGGTCCAAAAACATATCAATTATTTTTGTGACGAAGAAGTCGTTGCTGTCGATGATGTCGTCGACGAAGAGGACTCACCACTACTTCCGTTTGGTTCAATCTCTAAGATATACAGTATATATATACATACAGTTTGGTTCACTAGATTTGTTTAATCAAATTCATCTGTTTTTCTTCAATTCAATTCATTCATTCATTCAATTTATTTAATTAATTTTATTTACTTTTATAAATACTACTATTAAGTCCTATTGAATTGAAATTGAATTGAATAGTGATTTTAACGATATATTAAGTGCATTATTTAACTAATAATAATAATAATAATACAAAACATTGCTATTTATAATATTAACAAAACATACAATGCTTTTCATAATATAACATTAACAACAAAAAAGATTAATCAATCAAAAAATAAAAAGACAATTAAAAATAAATAAATAAATAACTGTTTCATTTTATTTGCATTATCAGACTAAATATAAATATAATTATTTTTGGGGTTTTTTTGGCACAATATATATTAGTTTAAAAAATAATAAAATAAAATGTTTAAAGCTTTTTTAAAATTAAAAATAAACAAAATTTGATACCAATTATTATCAATCAAATCAAATGTTGCTATAAAAATCACTTAAAAAATAAATTGTTTGTTTGTTTGATCGATAATTAAAATTAATTACACATGTATTGCTATAATTTTTACTGAAATTATTATAATTAATGATATATCATAACTAATTCACAAAAAATAATAATAAAATAATAAATAATAATAAAATGACTTAATATATATCATATTAATAATATTCATTGAATTACTTAATTAATTAATTAAGAGTTAAAGCTATCAAAAATCTAAAATGAGAAGTCAATAATAATAATAATTATTATTATTTATTTATTTAATTAATTAAATATGATATTAATAACTAACTAAATAACTAATGACTTTATGAAATCATATCAGATATCATATAAACGACAAAAAATTGATTAAACATTTGAATTCAAATGATATAATAATTATATGATATTATTATTATTATTAAATACCATTGAAATTGAGTTTCTCGAGCTCTTGTGGCAAATCAGATGTACTTAATTGACACGATTTCTCCTCCAAGATATCTGGCATTGCATTTCGTCTACCGGTGCGACCAGTATTGAGAAAGTCGTCGACCGATTCGGCAGTCACTTGTGTTTGATTGCCGCCACTGGCTATAGTCTGATCACAATTACCGCCACCACTGCCACTACCGCCGCTGTTGATAATGTTGGCCGTAGAAGTCGACGGTTCCGAGATGTCCATTGAGGAGATCAGTTGTTATTGTTGTGGTTGAACAACACATAGATAGGCCACTAATAGTAGTCATAGATAATGTTTGCCACTCATTGTTGTTGTTATTATCACTGACTTATATACTGTACAGTACTATACATAGTATGTATGTATGTATTACATACTATACATACATAGAAAAAAAATCCCAGTTTTATATATAACTTATATAATAATATGTATTACTATTACAACCAGTAATACACAGTAATATACTGTTTAATGTTTTTGACTATTAATAGTAGTATACTATCAGTGCTATCGCTTGCAATATATAACACAAATGCAGGGCTTTTTGACAATACTATTGACAGTATTAACAGACAGTATTCATAATATTGTAGTAATAATGATAGTGCTGTCATCTGTCGCGCGCTCTAATTGGTTGACAAAATATTTGAATTATCAATACTCTTGATTTTGATTGGCTGTTAGCATGAAATGCAATACAAAAATACAACGTTTTTAGCGCACAAACAAACAAAACATTTATATATTTTCTTCATTTTGATTAACTCATTGATAAAACAATTGATATGAACTGGAATTGGGATCCGTTGGCCAACGTTAAGCCGCCGCGACCGCGGACAACACGATCGCGACCACAGAGACAATCTATAGAGACCATCAGTTTGTCAGCTGTCCGGACAGTGACGACCGATGTTGTCGGCAACATCGGAGGCGATGGCCAAACACTACGCAATATGATTGCCAATTGGCAAACGAGACGCCGATTCTCCAAACCGGCCATCGATTGGTCCAAATTTGCGGTCAACGATCTCACTATCAGTTCTGTCTCCGATTCTGACGAGTCAATTGATGTGCCGGAAAACGAACCGATAATCAGGACATCGACGCCGCATGCGGTCAGAAATTCGACGTCACTAACGGCCATAAAATCGACGCCACAATCCGTCAGTAAATTAACGCCACAAATGGCTAGAAATCCGACGCCACTATCGGTCAGAAAACTGACGCAACAAATGTCCAGAAATCCGACGCCAATAACGACCAGAAAATCGCTGAGTCGTTATATTCCGGCACATTTGGAGCGGACTGTACTCGAGTGTACTCCACACGCATCGCCGGTAACGCCGAAGACTATAATAAAGAAGAAGAGACAGTCGAGAGCCAATTGCACTGTTTTCGGTGATATTACCAATAATACTACACGTCTGACACAACTTAACAGATCAACAATGACTCAAACAAATGATAGTCTGATGACAAATGACTTTTGCGATCAAACATTTGATGTCATCGAAAAGGGTCGCAATGTTGCTGAAGGAGTGACCGATCCAATGATTGGATTGGATTTCAGTATCCAATTGAACAACGAGACGATAACCATTAAGGATAACAAATTAATACCACAAGATAACGATAATCTAGACATTGATGATAATGAAGTCAAAGTCGATACTGATATTCGAGATGAAGATGTCGTTGAAGATCAAAATATCGTTGAAGATCAAGATATCGTTGAAGATCAAGATATCGTTGAAGATCAAGATATCGTTGAAGATCAAGATATCGTTGAAGATCAAGATATCGTTGAAGATCAAGATATCGTTGAGGATGAAGATATCGTTGAGGATGAAGATATCGTTGAGGATGAAGATATCGTTGAAGATCAAGATATCGTTGAAGATCAAGATATCGTTGAAGATCAAGATATCGTTGAGGATGAAGATATCGTTGAAGATCAAGATATCGTTGAAGATCAAGATATCGTTGAAGATCAAGATATCGTTGAAGATCAAGATATCGTTGAAGATCAAGATATCGTTGAAGATCAAGATATCGTTGAGGATGAAGATATCGTTGAGGATGTCATCGAAAAGGATTGTAATGTTGCTGAAGGAGTAACCGACCCAATGATTGGATTGGATTTTAGTATCCAATTGAACAACGAGACGTTAACCATTAAGGATATAGTGGCCAACAAATCAATACTACAAGACAGCGATAATGATAATGAAGTCGATATTGATATTCGAGATGAAGATGTCGTTGAAGATGAGGATGTCATAGAGGAAGAAGATGTCATTCAGGAGAAAGAAATAGAAAACATTGAAGAGGAAGGAGCGAACAATCAAGATGTAGTGGAAGAAGACCACAACGCTATTAGACGTTCTTCGCGTATACGCCATAAGCCTATGGAATATTTTAGAGGACAACGAATTAAATATAGTTTCGGTGGTTCATCGGTGACCATTGAAGAGGGCAATCAAGACGTGCCAAAAGTCAGGAAAAACAAAGGTGTCAAACGAAAACTCCAGAAACACCAGAAAGAGAAAGCAATTGATGTTTTTGATCTATCGTTTCATAATAAAAAAGTAAAGACAAAACACAACTCTGACAATGAAACTATAAAACGAGTCAATGATCTCAATTGGAAAAAGAGTGACCAGAATGAAGGCGTCGATATTGCCATCATTGAGAAGAATAAAACAAAAGGCGATGCCATCGGTATGTTGCGACTCAAAGAGATGGCCGGAAAAAAGAAATCCAAAACTGGTGGTTATGTCACACATTTTACCGTAACATTTGGTGCACTACTGTTGACCGTCGAAGACAATGAATATCTTATCAAAACCGGCGACAACTTTAAGATCGCGCCCAACACTTACTACGGTATCGAAAATGAACGAAAAGACACTGCCTTTCTATCGTTTACTGTTTTAAAAGAGTAATAATTGTTTTTTTAATTATTATTCTTAATTATCATATAAATTGCATTTTATTATAATATTCATTCATATGATTTTATGTTTTAAAATTTATATAATTTCAATTTTATTCATTTTGTTTTGTTTTTTTTAATTACACCTCATATATACTGTATAATCACTCAATTTATTTTAATTGAAAAAAATATATTATTAAATATATAATTTATATACAGTATAATACTGTAATACTTATTATTATAATCAAAATAATACTGTCTTAATTTTATATAATTTCATAATACAATTGAAGATATTTAACACAACAACAAAAATGATTATAATTGAAATTGAATTGTAAATAAAAAAAATTATTATTTAAGACAAAATATTTTATTTTTAAAAATTACTATTTAATACATTTTATTTGTAATAAAAGTATACTTTAAAAAATTAATAATGTAATTATAATTATAACGGATAATAATATTGTACACAATTTTTTGTCGATTTAATCACTTTTACAAAAATAATAATAACAAATGAATGTCTATTGAAAACTATAACTAATTATTATTGAAACTAAAGTTCTTGAGGTGCGGAATGATAGACATGAGTTCATTGTCGGTAACAGTATTTTGCATGACTTTACCAAATATAGACTCCATTTGTGTTTTCAGTTCAAATTGTTTGGCTCTTTTGAATGCATTGCGGATCAACTGTTTGGGCAGACCAGCCAATTGGGCGGCATTGAAGCCATAGCTTTTCGGACAGGCATTATCCTTAAGCTTATAGAGAAAGGTTATGTCTTCCTCTGTCGGATCGCTTTCGTTTTCGTTCTCAATCATACAGGCCTATTGATTGGTCAGCGGTTACACCATCGATGGACAACACAAAGATATTATAATCATTTTTTATTAACAATTTTTAAACACATACCATATGAACCAATTTGATGTGCGGATTATCTTTGAACTCATCGACCAACGAGTGATAATGTGATGAGAATAGTGTGCGACACTTGATCTGTTCGCTTAAGGCTTTGGCCACGGAATAGGCAATAGCTGTGCCATCAAATGTTGACGTTCCTCGACCTGTACCATACAATCAATCAATTAATTTAAACAATAATTACTATATAATAATTTAAAATCCATTACCTAATTCATCGATCAATACAAGTGAATGTTTGGTCGAGTGTTTCAATACTATCGCTGTTTCACTCAATTCTAATAAAGAAATTGGATTAAAAAATTTTTTTTATTAAAGTCATGCAATGAATATTTCAATCATCCATTTGATCCATACCGACAAAGAATGTACTCTCGCCTTCAATGATACGATCAAAAGCTCCGAGACGTGTGAATATACGGTCGACGGGTGTCAGTGAACACTCTTTTGCGGGAACATAAGCGCCGATCTGTGCCATAATCACAATAAGACCCAACTGACGCATTAAAGTACTCTTTCCTCCCATATTAGGTCCGGTCAGCAAAAGTAGCTGATTATCGATTTTAATATCATTGGGTATGAAATTATAGCAATATTTTATAAGACATGGATTACGAGATTCAACTAAATCAACGAATGGTACCGTCGAATGACTAAACTTCGGTAGGCATACAACAGATCTGTTTTGTTGTAAAAATGAACGACTCTTTGTCAGACTCAACAGTACATCCAGTTGTGACAAACAATTGATTGCTTTCAACCATTTATCATAACTTCTATCAAATGATTCAAATATTCTTCGCATACCATCCTGAAGAACAATTTCTTTGGCATCTTCTGCAGTAATCAGTTGTTCGAACAGATTCTTTGTAAATGATGTCGAATATCGTTTGAAACCTTTCCGGGAACTTTCCAACATATAATCGTTGTCTTTGGCAATCTTTTTCGTATAATTGTCCGGGACTTCCAATTGATAGCGATTTTTACCGCTACCGAAGTACGATACCTGACAACCGAAAAACTTTTTCTGTTCCGATAAATAGTTGTCGAATTTCTTAACAATTGATTCAACCTTTTCAACACAATCATCGTATTGACAATCAGCACCGGGTAGTGGTAACACTTTTCCCTCTTGTTTTGCCACTCTATGGTCAAAAGCATTATCAAAATATCTAAGTTGTCCACTCAGATCGGGAAATCCATTATTATTATTATTATTTGTTGTACCGAACGACAAACAATTGGTCAATAGTGAAGACTTGAAATTCGGTAGATGTTGTTGAAAGGATTCGACAACTTTTATGGATTGTTTAAATCCGTCCAAAACAGACAAAAAGTCAAGTATTTTACGTTTACTATAGGTATCCATTTCGAACAGTATGGCCCTGGAATCGGGATGATCTTTAGCCCGTTTAGCTGATCCCTGACTATGAATCTTACAGAGCAATCGTTCCAAATCTGGTAACTTACGCAACACTTTGATAGCTTCTTCTACATCATATTTCACCGATACCTGAGACAGATCTGCGATGGCTTGTTGTCGCTGTTGAATCTGCGATATATCACACAATGGTGAGCACATCCACTTGAATAACAATCGTTTGCCAAAATATGTCGAACAAAAGTCAAGTACTTCCAGAAGTGTGCCCTCAGTTCCACCCAAAGAGTTAGAAAAAATGTCTAAATTTCTTATAGTAATCGAATCGAGTATCATATGTTCGGGTAATTTAATGTTATCATCAGTACTCTTATTATCACAATTCAAATCACATGGTTTGTACTCTTGGATCAGTTTCATTGATAACACTTCTTCATCCACTAGAGATTCTTTCAATACTTCAATGATAGCACCAAACGAATGAATGGCTAATTCATAGTCAGATCGTGGCGTTTGTTTAAGTGAATCGTTTTCATCTAACATACGATTCAACTCCTGAGGTAATTGGCCGTCAAAAAAGTTGCCATCACTTAGATATTGGAGTGTCTTCTTTGGTGACCAAAATTCTTTTCGCACTTCTTTTCGTGCATTTGGTGCACAATTTTCAACCAATTGTTTAGTTTTAGGCGAAATGTTTTTATTATCAAAAACCAATTCGACCGGTGGATTGTGTGCTAGAAGTGTACGCAATCGGGAATAATATCTATCGTCAGAGAACTGACTCAAATTGAATGTACCGATCGATACATCAATAAAACAGATACCAAAATCAACGCCTTGTTCTGTAAACTAATAAAACATTTGATTCAAATAATTGACAATTAATCGAAAATTATCGATAATAACAAAAAATTCATAATAAAAACTTACGTTTTCAGTGATAGCCATAAGATAAGAGTTTTGATCGCTAAATACATCGGAATCGATAACCGACGGAATTCTAGTACCAATACTTGACACTCGACACACCTCTCTGTTGACAACTCTATCAAATTTAGTCGCCTTTTTGTTCATCTTTTTGACCCTTTCCTCCATCATCGCCGGTGTCTCTGTCTGTTCAATTCTGGCCACTTTATAGCCTTTCTGTATGAGTACGTCGGCGTATCGTTTATACGCTTTTTCGGGAAAGCCTGAGTGTGCGTAATCGCCTTTCATGTAAATAATTTGCAACTCATTGACAGCGATGACGGCATCCATTTGGAACAGTTCATAGAATTTTCCCATTTTGAAGAACAATACGGTATCAAAGTGTTGACATTTAAATTCCCACCACTGTCTCTGTGCTGGTGTACAGTCATTCAAGAAACTCTGTGGTACCGACAATGTGGTCGGATCGTAATCGGGATTTAATTTGTCGCCGACTAGTCTAAAATTTCCCGATCGGTCTTTCAGTTTTTCGGGCTTCAAAAACTCTAAGTTCAAGTGTGGCCACTCTTTTGTGGTGCCGTCGTTGACATTTTGGTCAGTTACCGATACAAATGATTCGTCGGCTAACGAAACTATACTTTTATTGAGTTTATTATTATTACTATTACTACCGGTATTTCCATTTCGTTTAGTAGTGTCTAAACTTTTACTCTTTTGCTGTGACGACCCTTTCGACAATCTTTTCGATGTCTCAGTCAACCAATTCTTCGCCGGTGTACTCGATATTAACGATTTGTTTGGTTTGAATGTATCTTTGGGAGCATTATTAGTAGTATTATTATTATCAGAATCTATTTCTGATTCCGAACTCAAGACTTTGCTTTTATTTTGTGACTTTTTTGGCTTCTCTTTTGACTTTTGGGTTTTTTTCTTCGGTTTGGTCTCCGAATCGGATGAATTATATTCCGAAGAAATAGAATCTTCCTCTGATTCTACTTCTTCTTCTTCTTCTTCAGATTCATCTGAAATCTTCTTTGACTTCTTCTTTGGTTTTTTTGTTGATTTTTTATTATCTTTGCTTTTCATAAACTTATCCCATTTTGACTTACTTTTTGTCGTCAATGTCTTCGTTCGCTTTTGTTTTGGCTCTGAATCTGATGAAACTATTTCTTCAACAGAACTTAATTCATTGTCCGATACTTCTACTTCTTTAATGTCCGGCTCTTCCTCATCACTGCTATCTTCATCATCGTCTGAGTTAATCTTGAACTCATCATCACTTCCAACTGAATCCTCACCACTCGACGCAATAGTAATTCTCTGTTTCTTTTTTCGGTCAGTATTTTCTTTAATCGTTTCAGCCTTTCGTTTCAAATCCGGTTTTTGTTCTTCTGTTTTTTCTGTCGTCTTTGATTTAGGACTCAAATCTTTTTCATTACTAGTGTTGACTAAACTAAGCGATCCATTATTGTCGACCTCAAAATCAATGTCATCGAGCATTTCGACGCCATCCTCATCATCATCGCTGCCTTTCAGATCACCAATCAGTGTATACCTGTCCTCAACAGACATTTTCATTGCTTGATCGGCAAATTCGATCGCTTGGTTCCATTTGACGTCTTTAAGAAGCGGAACATCTGACTTATGTTTGCCATAATATTCCTTAAGATCTCTGACCCGAATCCAGGCTCTGCTGATCGGATCGTCAAAGAACTGGACGTGAATGAAGACTGTCTTACATTTGCGCCGCACATAAGTATTAGCCGACGGATGCAAACAGACAATGGATGGCCACCACGGATAGCTAGTAGTAGTAGTAGTAGTAGTGGTCAACAAAATCCAAATTATCAATTAATCAATCAATCAATCAATCACTTCCTCATCAGATCTTATAATAATAATTAATAATAACACCAACAATGACATACCCCTCTAGTTTAGCCCAAACCAAGTCATACAATTTGAACGACGTTTCGAGTTTGTCCGCTGACGATGATGTGGCCGTCGATGACTTGTTGTCGACAACGGGTTTGATGTCCACAACAACTTTTCCAGAACTCGTGGCTGTCGTCGACTTATTCGTTATTTGCGGCGATTTTGCGAAATAATTCAATAAAGTGTTGCTCTGTTTTGGCGACTTTCCGCTCATTTTGTTTGTCAATGTCTTAAACAGTGGTCATTAAAAAAAATCAGATAATGAAGACATCGGGGGTTTATTACACACACTTCAGACTTGCATTTCTATTACGCAATAATAGAATATTATTATTGTTGTTATCATTGACTGACTGTTAATACATTAGTTTTATTTCTCTCTCTCTCTAAATATTTTTGGCGCCAATTATTAAAAGCCTATGAAATGTATTGAATTGAATCGTCAAATGTTTTGAGCGCAACATTCGAATCGATTTATTGTTTATTCAATTCATTAATCAATTGATTTGAATTACAATTTAGTTATTTTTGAATCAAAAACCGAAAACCAAACCGTTTTTTGTTTTCTTTATATTATTCTTATTCTTCTCCTTCTTGTGGAACCCTTCCTCCTCTAGTTTACCCGTATTTCTACTCTTTATATATACTGTATATATATATTACTGAAAATAAAAACTTTTGTTTCCCGAACTAAGAACACTATCCGATACCGTTGTCGTTGATTCGGACATCACATGACTGGCCACTGGTCGGGACCGATTGTCTTTGGCCTATCATCAATTATCTGGTGGCTGGTAATCAACAACACCGATTTTGTGGCCAATTCATCAATGGTGGCCACTAGTGATGATAGTAATGACGATGATTTCGATAACAACGACAACAACAATATGTACAACAATTACCGAACTATACTGTTAACGGGTATCAAAGTGATGGCCGTATTTGATTCGGTGTGTCTGATCGTATTGGTCTACCTGTGCGCCACACGTCATCGCCAATTGTATAGACGTCGTCGATATGATGATCAATGGACTGACAATCAACAGCAGAAACACTGGTACGATAGGTATTACCAGAACTGGCAATTTGTTTGGCGTTCACCGAAAACTGTTAATACAATCGCTGACCAAAATGACAGCCAATTGTCGTCGAGCCGATCTGTCGGCTAAAAGAAAATGTCCAATCGATCACTCGATGTCCAGTTATTATCTTCTCTCAGATCTCTCTCTCTCTCTCTTTATTTTTTCATTTTAAATTGTTTTAAAATATTTCAATTTGTTAATTATTTATTTGAATTATTTACTGTATTATATATTATATCCAATACATTAAATCTAAATTTACAAATATATACCGGTATTAAATATATAACTTTAGTTTTGTACAATATTTTTATTAAATCAAATTAAATATATAGTATATTATATACAGTATATAATAAATATGTTTAATCATCGAGGTTACTATTATTAATCTATATTAAAATTGGATGAAAAAAATTATACATAATTTAATTATAATATTTAATAAACATTTTATACCGTTTAATAATATAGAATACTTATTGTCAATTGATGTCAATTAAATAATAATAGTGAATATATTTTATTTAATTAAAATTTTTAAAAAGTTATATTAATAATATAGTTAAATATATTTTTTGCTTCTCATTATTTTATTATTATTTTTTATATATTAAACAGACCTATTTTTTTGTATCATTTGACAAAATAAATTTCTATTAAACATATTTAGTAACAAATTGATAGATATACTAATTTTTTAGTTTAACAAAATAACATTTATATCTAAAATTATATTTTATATATCATTCATTAATTATAAATTTAAATAATTTTTAAATACAGCATTAAATTATATTTATATATTATAATATTTTACATTATATAGTTAAAATTATATTTATTTTTATGATTTTATAAAAGTATAAGCTTTGTTAATTAGTACACTATATTTTATCAATATCAAATTCAATAAAATATATACCGTAATTACATAAATTAATAAAAATACATAAATAGTATATTTTGTCTATAAAATAAAATAAGATTATAACTATTACATATATGATATTAGTTATTGTTATCTAATAATAAATGGTAACAAATAATTATACATTTAGTTTATTAAAAAAAATCTTTCAGTACATACACTGGTATGCAATTAGATAACAACAGTGTACGGACTGTTGCACTGGTAATGAATGGTATGTCATATATCACTGGTGTTTGCGCCGGTCTTATGAATCACCACAACAAGTGTCAAATACATACCATCACTACCATTACCATTGACTCTCAGACAGACCTATATATATATATATAAAACTTGATCTCTTTTAAGTTAATATCGAATCTGTGCGACAATTAAATAATAATATTATTTAATAATAATAGTTTCCGTTAAATAAAAAAAAATCATAAACTATTTTTGAATAATATCAATAAGGATTGTTATTATTTAAAATTCTAAAATTTGATTAAATAAAGTTTTTTTTAATTAAACAAATTCAAGTACACTTGATACTTATTTTTAGTTATAAATAAATAAAATCAATAAAATTAATAAAATCAATAAATATTTAAAAATCAATATTTAAATTTTAAGTCCTGGTAAGTATCATTATTTTTTTAAGAAATACTGATTTAACTGATATTTCAATGTTAATGTAAAATCTTAAATCTAAATGTTTTTTATAATAAAGTAATTATCATGTATTTTAAGTAACAGGATATTATCAATTTATTAGTAGATATATATATTTATTTATTTGTTTATAAATATATTAGGTTTTTTTTAAACAACTGTTGATAGATTTGTTGTAAATTAATAATTTGATAAAAATGATTGGAAATAATCAATTTGTTTGTAATATATTGATACTTTACGGGTATATAAATACTGTATTGTCAATAATTATAAATTTATTAATACTTTAATTATTGTATTATACTGTGTTTGAAATATTACTGTTAACTATATTTATATCACATAATTTAAAAATACTATTAAAAGTTTATTTTTAAAAATATATTAATAATTTTAAATAAATATATATATATATTGAATTTAATAACTTAGAGATTTGAATTGTCATAGTATAGAAGTAAACGAAAAAAAAAACAATTTATACTATTTTTTTTGTCTAAAAATATTTGTCTATCGATTTTTAGTCATTATTATTACTATTATTATCAAGTATTGAAACAAAAATATTTAAGTTGTAATCCAATGGATGCAAATGAATTCCGATCGGCCGCTAAGCAACTGGTCGACTATATTGCCGACTATTTGGAGAATATTCGTGATCGACCTGTACTACCATCAGTACAACCCGGATATATTAAACAATTGATTGGTGACTCGGCACCTGAACAGGGACAACCATGGAGTGAAATATTTAATGATATTGAAAAAGTTATAATGCCAGGGGTATGATTGAAATTAATGATTTTGTTATTTTTTACCTACATGTTTGTTAATATATATATATATATATTAATATTATTATTATTGTTAAAATATTTACTGTTATAAGTATAATATTTTTAGATTTTATATAGAAATATAATTTTGTATAATAAAATTATTATTATCTTAATCCTAGTATAGAAGTAATCAAATTTACTTTAGTATAGTAATATTATATAATAATGTTGTTCATACTATACACGAATATAGGAGTATAGGATATAATTAATCGCATGAATGGCTTGCAATTCATTGGAGTTTTCATCATCTTTTTCAGTGCCCATATCCTGGATATCAGTCTTTAAAAGATTCAGTCAATATTACCCTAATTTAAGTGATAACACATACACTTTCAATCTCATACTATTGTTACCAGAATTTGATTTATACCACAGAATACTATAAATGTTAAAAATTCCTATAATATTCTGTACAATATATATATACAGTATATAAACCATGTATTGAATTTATGAATAACAAACACCATTATTCATGAAAAAATCAATCTTTAGCTATCATTATCTTTAATATACTGTAGTAGAAAAAGCACTGATTATTATTACTTTATACAGTATTACATAACCTTTATACAATATATATATACAATATATTTAACCTTTGATTTTTTGTTGTTGAGAATGACAATAGTTTTTTTGTATAAAATATATATAGATCTAAAAATATCAGAATATTATTATAATTTTTAATCAAATTTTATCAATTATTATATTTTTTTTTTAATTATAGATAACCCATTGGCATTCACCTCATTTTCATGCATACTTTCCAACAGCCAATTCCTATCCATCAATATGTGCTGATATGTTGTCCAGTGCACTGGCAGTTATCGGCTTTACATGGGTTAGTAATATTGTATATATAATGTTAGAAAATCAATAAAAGCAAAATGGGTTAAAATGTTATATACTATATATCAATATACTAAATGTTAGATTTCAAGTCCAGCCTGTACTGAGCTGGAGATGCAAATGATGGATTGGTTGGCAAAAATGCTTGATTTACCACAACATTTCATGTTTAGCTCCGGCGGAAAGGGTGGCGGTGTTATACAGGGAACGGCCAGTGAGGCCACATATGTCACTCTTCTAGCGGCCAGAAATAAATTATTGGCACAACATAACAATAATAAAGATATACTAAATAAGTTGGTCGCCTATGCGTCCAGTCAATCGCACTCTAGTGTTGAAAGGGCCGGCCTATTGGGTGCCATTCAGATAAAACAACTGCCGACAGATGATAAGTTAAGCTTAAGAGGCGACACACTGAGCAACCAGATCCAGAAGGATAGGGCCGACGGTCTAATACCTTTCTATGTTGTGGCCACCCTCGGCACTACTAATACATGTGCTTTTGATAATTTGCTTGAAATCGGCAAAGTTTGTATGTGTTTTTGGTAGCTTTAAGTACATATATTATTGTGTTTTTTTTCTTTTTAATTTGTATTAAATTTAATGTTAATTTTAATTAAATAATTAAATAATAGGTGAAGAAGAAGAACTATGGCTTCATATTGACGCTGCTTTTGCCGGCTCGGCCTTCATATGCCCTGAATTTAGACATCATTTGAATGGTGTCGAGGTATCGAAAAAATAGTTTTTATTTTTTGAAATTATTCCGATAATTAGTTCCGGATATAATTAAATTCCAATTATAATATTCTAAATATAAATTAATAATAATATTATTTTTGTTTATTTGCTAAATAGTATGCTTCATCATTCAATTTGAATCCACATAAATGGATGCTAATTAATTTTGATTGCTCCACATTATGGTATTATTTTTATTTTAAATATATATATATATTACTTTTGATTATAGCAATAAAACTAAAATAAATCAAATCAAAATATATTTTTAAGTATTTTTAAAAATAGGAAATTTTTCCTGAAATAATTATCTTCATATTTGATCTTTTATTAGTTAATTAGTTAAATTAACGATTTTTCCATTTTTGCCAAATTGGTGATATTAATAATTTAATGCAAAAATTTAATATAATTTAAATAATTTAGTAAAATTATTAATGAAATATGAATAAACATAATGGAAAATTTTGATTGCTGATTTTTAAAAAACTATTAAACTATGTGTAATATTATTAATGCTAACTTAAAATACTTTTACTAAATAGTTAAACTGGAAATCTGTAATAGTATGCTATTTTTGTATTCATTCACACCCTAAATAAGTTACACATACAAAAAAAAAATTTAAAAAACCAAAAATATAGATACATTAGAGATAAATATTAATAGTATATAATACTTATAATACATAATATATAATACCTGGTATAACTCAATAAAATAATTTTCAAAATAATAATAATATAATAAATTATAATATTAAAAATTTTATTAATTGATTAATATTTTTTTGTTTTTCTAAAAGGATTAAAAATGCTGATTATATTGTGAACGCGTTTAATGTGAACCCAGTTTATCTAAGACATGACAAACAGGGACAGATACCTGATTATAGGGTATAATTATGATTTTTAATAATCTATAATTAATTTATAATTAATTTAATTAATATTACATTATTAACATTAATCATCTTTGCACAAAATATTAATGATGATAATTAATTAGTAAACAGTTTATTAGTTGTATGATATTTACTAATTACTAAATTGACTTATAAATAATAAATTATAATCAATATAAAAATTTTAGCATTTTTAAAATACAAATTATTTAATACTTGATCTATTGAATACATTGTAACTATAAATATTTTTAAAAAAATTATATAATATTTAAAAATTACTATTATTGAAGGTTTTCTACCCATACCAGACAGAATATTTAATTTTACTGATTAAAATATTCAATTAAAATAATATTATCGATAAACACAATTATTTCAAACAAACAAAATTATCAGACAATAAAAAAATTAAATATTCAATGTCTAGAATATTAATTAGCATTTTCTTGTTGTTTTTTTTAATGAAATTTATTAATTACAATAAATTTAGAATTGTATATTTAAAAAAATATGCAAATGGTTTTTAAGTACAGTATTATTATTATTATTGATTATAAGTTAATAGCTTTTATATTCAATAAAAATTACCTATCAGTCAATATTATTAGTATTTCCAACAAAAAACATATTTATTATATAAAATATATATCAGTATATATTTTTTTTAAAATCAATTATAATATTGTAATAAACTAAATGTCAATATATTTATATACAACACACACACACATAGCACTGGCAAATACCATTAGGTCGACGATTTCGTTCATTGAAGATGTGGTTTGTCTTCAGGAGCTTTGGTGTTCAAGGATTACAGAATCATATAAGAAAAGTACTAATAAATTAACAAAATTTAATTTAATAATGAAATAATTTTATATTATTATCACCAAAAAAATATTAATAATTGTAGCAAGTAGAATTAGCCAAATTATTTGAGGAACTGGTGGCCAGTGATGACAGATTTGAGATAATAACTAAACGAGAGCTCAGTTTGGTTTGCTTTAGATTAAAGGTATTTATTTAAAAAAAATAAATAATTAATTAATTAAAATTATTTATCGATTTATTTAGTTTATTTAAAATATTCAACTTAATTTATTTATATATATTTAAAAATCCATAATTAGGGCTCAAATGAGATCAATGAAAAACTGGTAAAACTAATCAACGACAACAAGAATATTCACGTAACGCCCACCCGAGTGGCCGGTCAGTTCATCATACGGTTTGCTGTCTGTGCCCGAACTACCGAAGCCATTGATATTGATTTTGCTTGGCGTGAGATATGCCGACTAATCAGTCAAACAATTGCCCAGTGATTTGCATATCAATTACAATACTATTAGTATTTCAACAGAAAAAAACCAATAAATTGTATTTTTTGAATGTATGTTAAATGTCATATGCATTATACGGTAATTTATATACCAATGTACTGTATGTGTAGACAATATTATTATTTTATTTGTTTTGTTCCGACGACATACTTATGAAAAAACAATTTATTTTTTTCATTATTTTAATTTATAATATCAAAGTCATTGAGAGCATAGGCTTTGCGCATATGATTGCCTTTTTCCAAATCACAGCTATTATACTGTATATACCGTATAAATGTTTGTTTTTGTCTTTGTTTGTTAAAAACTATATTTCATTGTAATAATATAGTTATTATATGTATAAAAAAATTATAGTCTCTCTTTCTAATATGTGTACTGTATGTGTAGTTTATAACTATTAATTGTATGACTGGTTTTCTGCATATATGTCAAGAAATTAGATCAAACAAAATATATCGGTCAAAATGTGTGCGAAAGCGCAACATTGGGTTTTAATATTATTATTATTATAACTTAAATATATTATATAAGTTTCACAACATATCTCATGTACTCTAAAAATTTTTGCTTAAAAAATATTTTCAGAAAGAAAACTATTTTACAATATTATGTTATTACAGTATTATATTGAGAGTGTGAATAATTGTTTGTTTTAACTGAAAATCACTCAATTAACTATAATAATTGATATATTAAAAGTGTAATTAATCAATTATTGTATATATATATATAACTGACTATATTATCACAACAACAAAAATTTCGCCACCACTTGATTAGGTGGGTCTCTGAAAATTGATAGTTATTGTAAGTATAAATATATATATATAAATTTATATCTATATATAAATACATATATAACTTATATTATATATAATGTATTATAAGTGGGTTGGCTTTTAGATAGTATTGTTGTGTTTAGTGTTATGAATAAATTGTTTATTTTTTGAACACTCATTAGACACATTTATAAATTTAAGTAAATATTTCTTAAGTGAAATTTTCCATAAACTTTAAAATTATATTATTAATATAAATTACTATTTCAATAAATCAACCAATACATCACACCACGACCCAAACGTATCATAGGATGATTATATGGTATTAATAATATTTATATCGTATAAACATATGATATATTACAGATATTTATGATTTTTATTTGTCGTATATGTATTTTATTTTATTTTTATATATACTCTATGTTACACATTATATGATTATGATATTATACATTGACTAATGATATAATGGTATTATTAATAATATTTAGTTTAATCTAATTAGATAAATCATAATTTTTAATTTTTAAAAATACAATTAAATAATTGTCTATTATAAAATATTATCAATAATATATATATATACTCTATATTATATTATATAGTTGAGTGCATTTGTTGATTATATTGACTAATAAAATATCAATAACAAAAATAAACTATTTTTTATTTATGGTTCAATTTCATAGTACATATAACCTGGACATTGGAGTTCATTGAATAGAGAGACTTATATCTCAATATTGAATCTCCAATATTTTGTAGCAGTCATATGAATCACCCTATCCTCATACCATCAAACCATTACTATACAGTACAACAACAACTACTACTATAATATCCCAGGTATTACCAGTTATAATATTATAAGTAATATATTAAATATATTTACAAAATATATACTGTATTTATGATAAATATGAAAGCCATGACCACAATATCAAAAGTCAACATTAATTTTTGTTTAGTGATAACGAGTTAGTAGTGTCAGTTGACTGTTGGTTGGATGGCATCAATTAGATGCTAGAAAAACATGTGATGTTTATTATTATTATGATTTTTGTTCACATGATTTCTACATTACTACTATGTATTCAATACATTAAATTATATGATATTTCACTTAAAGAGGAGAAATGGTGTTTCAAAATACATAAAACCCGATGTTTTTCATTGATAACCAAAAAAAATTGTGTATTAATTTATAAAAACATTTTTGAAGATTTGCTTAGCAATGTGTGTGTGGCTAATGCTAACAATATGATAAAAATATAAATAAATAAAAAGCTATCTAGATCAAATATGTATAATAATAATTAAAAGTGTGTTAAACACTGGCAAACTTAGATACTGTTAAACATTTGGGTAAATCAATAAAAGCTCATTTGATAACCCGATAACATAGTTATTATAGTAGTGTATTCCTACTACTACTTATGTATGTACCACACATACCGACCCCTTTTAATACCGTATAATAAAGTATATAAACTTATACTGTACTGTGTGTAAAGTGCATCTCATACTTGTTGTTAGTTTAATAATACAGTATACCTATAAAAATCCTATACAACTGTATTAATCAGTAGTAGTAGTAGTGTAGGTGTCAAAAATTTTAAAAAACATTTCGCAATCTTTTTTAGCCCCCAAATAGGATTAAAAATATCATTCAGTATTTAATCTGCAAGTGTTGGCTCTTTTTAAAAAACTAACAAAAAATAGTCTATTAAATAGTGTTATAATAGTTTTAAAGTGTAATCCACTAAATAAAAAGTAGTGAAAGTTTAATGAACTCTTCAATACATAAGAGTATTAAAGAGAGAGAGAGAGAGGTGTCATTCACTTATGTTTTTTAATACATTGGATGACTATTACTACTAATACTATAAGTGAATGAAAAGCCTAACCAAACACACTGTCAGAGAGAGACTGACTCTCACTTAACTGAACGAACGGTTCGACTCAATGATCGAACGGGTAGTTCACGCGAATCCTATGTATGTGTTGTGTATTAGCTCCGGGAGTCAACTATTCAACCGTCCAATGAGTGTAGAATCTGTAGTATATTTTTAACACTACTTTCCACACACATAGCCATACCATCCCTTGAATGCCAGCAATGAGTCAGTCAATGATTTTTTGAGTACTGTTTGTGGCGGAGATTTAAGGGACCGATCAATGATTGCATTTTATTTGAATACCAAACACATTGTATGACTGACTCTGACTTCGACTGTCTGTCTGTCTGTTGAATCACTCTTTTCATTATAAATGTGTTAACTCTTCACACATATGAGTGACACTTCTTCTCTGACTTTGTTGCAGACAATGACCACAACGACAGCCACAACAACAACAACAACCAGTACTACAGCATTGACTGATACTGTCTGTCATATTGTTTCCGAGTGTACCGTTTGTGGCCAACAACGACCCGACGATTCATCACAGAGTAGTTGTCCTCCACTACAACAACAACAACTGAAATCCTGTTGTTGTCTGCAATCGTCTAATAATAAAGATATCAACGAAATACAAGACGACCACAGAAACCAAATCAACGACTTCTTGAACGCTAATCATCACAACAGCAACGGTATGTCAATGATGTGACCATTAATTTGACTAATAATATATAAAAATATATTTTTTGATAATAACTTAATTTATTTAAAAATAATATTAACTTTAAAAAAATATATTTATGTTAATTAATAGTATTTCACAATTATTTTTTTATTGTAAAATACAAATGTTTTTTATTTTTTTTAAACGTTAATTACTGTTAATTATTATGAGTTAGTGTTAGTTATGTTTTGAAATCTTAATGAATTTTTTTAATTTTATAGTTTTTGTTTTTTATATATAAATAGGATATAAATAAATAAAAATTGTTAATTAATTTTAATTTCTATAGAAAGAAAAATTTCCCACTTTTTATGGCAATTTGATTTAAGTTATTATTATTTTTATTTATTATTTAAATGCTAATTATAATACAGTATTTCAAATAACCTTAAAATATTGGCAACAATTTAAATTATATTAATTTCAAAGTAAATGTAATTTTATTTTTTTTCATTGTTGTTGTTATAAATTAGATTTTAATTGTAATCTAAAATTAATGAAATACTTGTTGTGTATATCATATAAAAACGCGGTTTGAAATGTTTTTTTTAAAAATAATTATAAATATATTTCATATACTATTTTATTTGTACTTTTATTATCAGTATAATTATTACTTAATATTTGCAATTGAAATCAATATGATTAAAACAATTGTATGAATAATGATAATATGATAGTTATTATGTTTTTCTATAAATAGCAGTTTTCTCACTATAAATATATAATGATAATAATAATTTCATTATATCCTGACTTTATATAATCATAGTTAGTGCTAAAAATATACACCAAACTGGAAGTGATGTATATTTGACTTTCATTGCAATTATTATCATTCATATAACTAAAACACATACAACAAACACTTTCATTAATACAGTATTATTATTATTTTTATAATTATAAAGTTAATGAAAAGTTTCTCTTAATTATCTGAAAGTGATTTATTTATAAAGTTAAGGAACTGCTTGTGTGTCGTGTTTAAGGAACTGATAAAAAAATATTTAGTCTGACATAAAAAAAGGATTGTCTATATATATATATATTTCAAATATATATGTTTTTATTGTATTGTTATGTCTAGAGTTTCAAATCCGTCACTCGAAGTCTGATCCAGTGATTCATTCATCACATAATAACTACAGATTTTATATCGAAAGATCTGATATCGATAGCAATAGTGATCTAAACACCGAAATCAATACAACACTACTCTATCCTCGTTGGTTTTCATCGTCGTCATCGCTATCATCGATGGACTCAACAATTAGTGCCGAAGATTTTATCCATGAAATGGTTACCATCGAAGGTCTCCGAACAGTATACAACTCATGCTTCGAGTAAGTCATTCAATTCATCCATTCATTCAATTATTTATTTATTATATTCCGGTAATTATAAGGTTATTAATTAAGTTTTTTGAAAAAGCGAGAGATTTTCAATGATATAATTTTTTTCAATCATATTTTGATTGTATTATTAGTTTGTTTTATATATATACATATGTATATATATATATATAATTAATTTTTTATAACTGTTTTTTTCTGATGCAATAAAAGTTTTGATGATTGTAATGGATTGTAATGTTGCAGATGTGGAGTGAGTTGGCATCAGAATCACGTCACCCTTGACTGTAGTGAATGCGGTGGTTATGCTATGTCTCGTCCCTGTCCTGAATGTGACGGCAAATGCGACTCCCAATGGCAACGAAACCTAAGAGCTGTACGTCTACATCATTGCATATTATTAGATAATTATATATATATTTAGCTAATCTGGCATTTAAATCAGTTTTTAATTATTGAATTTTTTATGAGTTATTATTATTATGTTGTATAATGAAAATATAATTATTAGTTTGAATTTTAATGGATTGTTGTATATTTTTTCTGTGTAGACTCATGAGCTCCGAAAAGCTCAATGGGTTGGCCAATGCAACCAACGATTGACAACAAATGAATTGCGAGACTCATCCACCAAATCATCATCACATCCACAGCTTATATCATCGTTAAAAGTTTAACAATAAATTGAAGCACTCTTTTATTATAGCAAAATATTAAATGAATATATATGTTAGTTAATATATAAATCTATATATTTATATATAATTTATAATTATATTATATATTTTACATAAGTAATTTATAACTCAAAAAACAAAAGTTTGTAATTTAGCTATTATTTACAACATATATGATTGATATATATATATATATAAGTTTTTTAAGATGTGTGGACCAAATTTTTATATAAAAAACACTTTTGTAATGCTTTTACATATTTTAGTCTATTTATATGCAAAGTATATAAAGATCATAGTATATAATTTGGTGCATAAAAATAATATCTAAATAGCAAAAATTATAATTTATTTATATTTTATATATACTGTATTCAATATTTTCAATTATACATATGATATATGTATATAAAAATTTAGGTTATATCGTAGAATATATATACACATAATATTTATATCGTTTTTTCTTATAATATTAATAATATCGAGTCAAACATTTGCCAAAATTATCATTTACTAACAATGCAATTGTGCCTTTTATTTTAAATTGGGATGTAATTGATATTATTTTATGATTAGTAGAGTAACAAATAATTTGCAGTTATTTATAAATTGCAGTACATTTGTATTATTTTTTTCTGAATCCAAAATTTATTTGATATTATGTACGAATTCAATGTGTGTGATCCCAATCGGAACTTCACTTTTTTTAAGTGTTTGTTTAAAACAAAAAGTTTATTTTATTTTTATTTTTTCTTATATCTATAAATAAATACAAACCCATTGAGGAATTGAGTGCTTTATTTGTCTCTATTTATGAGTTAATTATTTATAGTAAACATTTATTATACACTGAAAATATATATTTTAATAGTATTCATTTTTGTCTATAAATAATTTATTTTGAAAATTTTTTATTTATTTTTCAATCTATTTATCAAACAAACAACAAATCATGAAAAATATATTTAACAACTATTTAAACATTAGATATGTTGAAGTGACAAAAATAACAAAATTGATAACATTATATCATAGATAATCTTTTGCTCATATATATATAAAACCATATATATTAAATTAAAAGTAACATTAATGTTGATAATTTAAAACTACATATATATTAATGTTTTACTGTACACACGATTATTATATTACAATTTATAATTATATGCGACACTTGTATGTCTGGTGAGTGTGTTTCAAAAAACAAACATTTTAATAAATAATTTAAAAATATCATTGTATTAAATCCATAGAGTCATCAAAAGACGTCAATAATTATGGTTTTTATTTTTTTATAAGTTTGATGAAAAAACTCAAAAATTATAATTATTTATTATTATTATTATTATTACTACTACTACTACTAAATAATAATAATAATAACTAACTTAATGATTGTAATTCTTGTGAACTCTTTAAATTAAAAATATAATTATAAAATAATAAAAATTTGAAATTTCGAGAAACATAAAAAAAAGACATTTGATTTTATTATTTTTTTGTTATTTAATTTAATTTGTTTTTCATTTGAATATATTATTATTAATAATAATAATAATATCGTACGGTATATTTTTTTCTAATAATAACAAAATCGGATGACAATAGTTATTATTTATATTAAGAGTTAATATACAGAGTATAGTATATCACAATTATTTGCCCTTCAATTTGATTATTATTAGTTTCTTTATTATCATCAATAGACTATTTGACAATTATATATGAAATTATAGACATTTGTTTTAATAAACAAAAAATAAGTGCAAATATTGTAATCAATTTTTTTTATTGAATATATTAAGAGATAATAAAAAAATCATTTCTAAGTATTGCTTATTTAATTTAGTAATACAATCATTAACCTCTTGTGTGCGGAAAACCATTGTTTTTTAGTACAGCAAAAAAAGAGAGTTTTGTTTGAGGAAAAAATCGTGTCATTAAAAGTACTTTTATTTTATTTTATTATTAACTTATCATTAATTTTTTTATATAAATTATAACTTTCACTCCCAGACACACAAATATATATACCTGTATACACCCAAGCATTGAGGCATTGAAATCAAGTCAATGATTTTCAATTTTTTGACACTACTTTATGAGGCAGTCATTGTTAACTTGAAAAACATTTGATATTTATTTTTATTCATAATAATAATAATGTGAACATAATTTTCCCAACTTTTCATTAAAATAAAATTTCTGAGTTATCATTTTTTTTGTTGTATTGGTTTAATTTTTGTGTTTAATGTTATAATTAATTTTATTTTAAAAAATTCTATGACCTGAGACAATGTAAACTGTCGATGAAGCAATATTTCTATTTATATAATATTTATCATAATAATAATAATAATAATAATAAAATTATTGTAATGATAATATATCATATTTATATTACAGTATAATATATAATACCAGACTATTGTACTTTATATACTATTTAAATATTTTATAGTAGAAGTAGAAAATTAATAGACTTTTATTTTATTATCACATTTTAGACTTTTTTCAATTTCTATGTCCGATCAAAAAAATATATACGAAAAAAATATAAAAGTTTAATGAGTTTAACACTGAGTTCAATATTATAATATCTTTTTTATCATTTAGTTAGTACTGTATTTTATAAATTTTAATAAACAATTATGAATATAATTACTGATATACCGGTAATTATATAAATAATGACATTTTTTGTCACTGTATTTATATTAAACTATTTGACATTTTAGTTATTTTAATTAGAAAAAAATAATAATTAAAAAATAGTTTTTTCATTATTTTCAATACACTTTATTTTATGATTTACTGATGATTTTTTGTTGGTGTATTTGTATTGTATTTTTTTGAAATTGTTTTGAGAAATCTAATCCGACTTTTTATTTGCTATACTATTACCCGATCCGTTTCAATATCTATTGTACATTAAATTTTACTTTATTATACTAATTATATTAGTATATATCATATATATAAATTTTATTATAATTTATATTTATTGATTTTATTATTTTATTTATATATGTGAATTATTAACTATAGTAAATTATATTATATATATTGATTTAATGCTAAAGTCAGCAAAATTCAATGACTTAGACATACTATTAATTTTATGATAAAATAATAAAATTATTACAGTATTATTACTATAGTATTTTTTGTATTATTAGACATAAAACAACAATAATTCATAAAGATTTTTATTAAATGATTTATTTTATTTATTTTAGACCACTTTATTGACTGAACCAAAGTTTAAAATAAATAGCACTGTTTATCGTCTATCAAATAACCTAGGATAATTTATACGGGAAATAAATATATATATATATAAATAAATTGAACTTTAGCTGTTAGTACTTATCTTACAATACTGTTAATTATAATTAAAATATAGTATTACTTATATATGAAATTAATTATAAATTAAATATTAATTAATTGGGATTTTTTTTCTATAACAATTTATATATTTTTAGTTAATATTCCTCAATAGTTATCGTTATAATAGCATTTATTAATAAATTGTATCTAAGTATTTATATTTTTATCTAGGTCAATTTACGTTTTTATCTGACCTTAAATTCCTACACAATTTGGCACTAATAGTTTAGTCTAAATTTTGGTCTAAAAGTTTAAAAATAGTGATTAAAATGCAATCGATTATGAAACTATATATATAAAATAATTTATATACATTACATCAATACAATAGTGTATACAGTAATTTAGATTACAGTTAATAAATAAAAAATTAATTAACATTTTGCGAAATATTTTTTTGTGTCTCAATTTTAATTATCTAAATAAACTTGATCAATATAAACATGTAACTAAACATACATAATACGTATGTACAGTATACAAAAAAACATACATAATTGCATAAACAAAATATCATATTTAGATAACAGTTGACAAAAACAAAAAATTTTATAATAATTAGAAAATGTAGTTAAAAATTATATTTATAGAAATAATAATAATTAAAAATAACTGATGTAATTTTTTTTAGAAAATTGATATTTGTTAAAATATGTACAATTATTTATTTTTTTGGTAATCACCAGTAACTTAATTGAATTGTAACAGGTAAATTTATCTATTTAAAATTGTTAATTTACTGTATTATTACAGTCTATTAATAGCCACAATTCAAAAGAAAACAATTAAAAAATAAATATTTTTCTAAAGAAAATAATTAACAGTCAATAATAAACAAATTAAAGCAATAAATTTGGGTTTTTTACAATTTTTTATTTTTTTAAATTTTAATTTTAGAAATTAATTTATAATGATTAATAATTGATCCATAATAACATTTAGAAATATTTTAATATTAATACAAACTATCTAAAAAAGTCACATTTTAATATATTGAATTAATAAAACAAAACTAATTAATCAGATATAATAACTTTTATCCAATTTAGTTTTTTTAAATATCATTGATAATTTAGTAAATGAATTTTTAAAATATCATAAAATATTAATTAAAAAATTAAGCTAATAAAAAGTTAAAAATAAATTTAGTACTAAATATTATAATTAGATATTTATAACTATTTAATTAATAAAAAATTATAACCATTGAGCTATTATTGAATTAAATGTTCAAATAATTATTGATTATATATTTATGATATAATTGTGCTCTTCATATATGATTAGAACCGTTAGATTATTTGAACAATTATTCAGATTTTGCTGCCAAAGCCTTGGTTTACATTTGGATCAATTGATTGAATTGTTGGCCGATTATCGGACGCACTTGTTTGTAGCAATTGTTGAACAATAGGCTGCTGCTGACCATTAGTGGTAAACCGATGGCCACCTCTACTACTAGGGATTAGAATCACACCTCCTGTACCGGACCAACCACTACCTAAGCCGGACAATTGTTGAATACCACCACCACTTCCTCTTAGCGGTATGAGTCCATAACCCGATCCCAAATCAATCAGACCATTACCAACATTCAATGGTGTTAGCGCTTGTGAGCTGACAATACCCCCGTGTGATTGTGCGGGTGCGCCACCGATACGGATTCCGCCTATTCCGGCCCCACCCGAAGCACTAACTTGCGATCCTTGAGATGGATCAGCGACAACACTTATCGGTGGTTGAAGTCTCACTCCTTGAACACCCGAAAAGCCTCCATCAGCCGGAAATATCTGAATGGGTCCATGAGATTGGACGGGTGCTTGCGCTACACTGACTGTCGGTTTAACTGGTCTTCGCCTGATAACGGGTCCAACGGGTCCAGCAATGCCCGGACTAACAATTCCAGGTCCGGCTACTGGCGGTCGAGAAACTGGTGCTACAGCTGGACCTATGGGTACTGGTCGGACAACTGGTCGCACTGTTTGAATATTATCCGGACGGGGCGGGTGTCTTGACGGTGTCCACGCGGAAACTAACTGTGCGGCAGTTGGAGCCGACGATACGAGCTGTACGTCCGCTGGATTTTGCGATTCCGTACCGATTTCATTGGTCACAACATTAGCTCTTACAAAAAAATAATTAAAATAAAGAGTTTTTAAAAAAAATCATTTTTCAAACTAATTAATTATTTGATAATTTTAACAATACAATCGGTTATATCATAAATTGAAAAACATTAATACCTGAAACCATTTTCATCGGCAACGTATTCAACCCGTCTTTGTTGTCCATCGGCTCCGACTAAAGTATAAAACCCGGTAATTCTTCCCGAAGCGTCTCCTTTATAATTACACATTAAATTAATTAGTTTTAAAAACACTTTTTTAGTTAAATTAAGTAGAGTTAATAGATATTATATAACAATTTTCAAATAATGCCAATAATAACTTAGTTTAATATATATATTTTTTTGTTAAAATTTTAATAAATAAATAAATAAATTAATTAATTAATTAAATACCAGTTTCTTCTCTAGAGCTGGAACTTCCATCTTCATTGGCGGCACTAATTTAATTAATTAATTAACCAAATAATCCGTATAATTAATAATCCAATTGAAAAATTTGTTTAATTAATTAAAACATAATATTTTTATTAAAACCTGTAAGCAAATGAATAAGGTTCTGGTGCCGGATGTTTTTCCTCATCACGAGCTAACTGTCCATTGATTGACAAAATGCAACTCAAAAATATAAAAATCTGAAAATTAGATTTATATTTTTTGGTTAAAAATATATATACAGTATAATTAAACTAAATTTTTGTATAAAACATTTATGTGTAAAATCATACCCAAAACATTTTTCTAATTAATTAGAATATGATAATATAATAATAATTATTAACTTATTTGAAAACAAATTCTTTGAAATGAAATGGAAAGTTATGGAAAAGTTATGGTCTTTATATATATGAGCCCAAAGGGAGTCATCATATAATACCTGTATAATAATGATGAGTGCCGTCCCTGAAGTGTTGTTCATCACATGAAAAGAAGTGACCCATTAATAATCAGACACTGATTTTCGTTCAAAAAAAAGATATACTATTTCTTTCCTTATCAGATGATATATATATATATATATATATATATATATATATATATATATATATATATATTGTGTATATATATTAGTGACGGCAATCATATGCTAAGAAAAACTTATGCAAAGCTTTTTTAAGAAAGTAATTAATTTTAATTTTTTAAAAGAAATAATAATAATAACAACAAAATTAAGATAATTGCAGAATAGGATCACTATTTTTTCCAAAAAAAAACTGAAAATTACTCTAAATAAATATAGATGTATTGTTTTCCAGTCTATCAATTGTTATATATAAATATTATTTATATACTGTATAATTGCAATGCAAATCAATTTAAATTTAAATTTGTTATATTTTGTTTTGTGTTGTTATACAAACATAGTTTGTTTTAGTTTTTTGAAAATATCAATTGTTTATGTAATACCCCATACGTGTTTAAACTATATTTAAAAAGGTAGTGTGTGTGCGTATGTGTGTGTGTGTGTGTGTGTGTGTGTGTGTGTGTGTGTGTGTGTGTGTGTGTGTGTGTGTGTGTGTGTGTGTGTGTGTGTGTGTGTGTGTGTGTGTGTGTGTGTGTGTGTGTGTGTGTGTGGCATATAATGAAATATAAATTCAGATTATTTACTTTCACCTCTAAAAGTGGTGATCACTTTAAATGAATAAATATGACCCGAGGGTATGAGATATCGAGTTTTAACTGTTTTCTTGTTGTTGTTGTCTTAATATTATTATTTTGCTTCAAAAAACTTTAATCTCTTTAAATGAAATGATTGTAAAAAACAGTTGTTTATTATATATCCTTTTATCCGACAAAAAAAGGTAATTGATTTCTAGATGATGTAGTTGTAAATGGATTTAATGTATGTGTCGGTAGTTGTGGTGACTCTCAGAGAGTACTAGTTTTGGCACAACAGTCGGTCGGTGGGGAACCAGACATAATCACTAGACTATCCAATGATAGATAGATTTAAATTCATACTAATTTTAATAATAATAATAATAAATTCAGAAAAAAATTAAAATTTCCAAATAATTTTTGTCCAAATAAATTAAAATCTCAATAATATTAACATTTAATCCCTTCCTGTAGTTACTGTTTATAAATTAACTCTGAATTTAAATTGAAATTTTATATTTTATTACTTTCAAAAAATTTATTTATAAGTTATTCAAGTAATTATGATAGTTTAGTTTTTAAAAAAATAATTCACAGAGTAAATGGTTTTCATCTAGATTTTTATTTTATTTTTAAAAAAATAAATATTAAAATACATATTAGTATTTTTAGGTAAATTATATTAATCTCATTTATATAAAAAATATGTCAAGGTATTAGATATAGTTTAATTTTAAATTTCAATAATAATTAAAATTGAATTTTACATACCGTAATAACTTGTAAAAATATATAGTTATAATATAAAATATAATATAAAAAATATATTTTTTTAGATGCAAAGCTTAGTAAAAAATCAATATAGTTTCTTATATACAGTACATATATATTGTATATATATATACCAGTATATGTAAATATATTTACGGTAATATTGTTATTTACATTAAAATTACTGTAAAATGCTTTCAAACAAAAAAATTAAAATCAATATTATATTATGTTGTAATTGTGGATTATAAATATATAAGAAATTAAAATTTAAAATCACAAGTTTTTTTTAATAGTTAAACGAAGGCCACAAAACAGATGTTTTTTTTAAAGAAAGTTATATAAAATAAATTAATCTCTGATTATTTAAATTGTTTAGTAGTGGACGGACTGGTTATAGGGTCCGCTAATTGTGTTGGACTGTTGTGGGGTATAGGCTGTATAGGCTGGCGGTGGGTCTGTGCCTTTGGGAAGCTCTTCATTTTGGACGAGTACTGCACTCGGCTTTTCTGATACAACTGTATTGGCGTTGACTCTCATCTCATCCAATGAAGCCCTAAATTGTTTGATTGAAATAACAAAAAATATATAAATAAATACAATGATAATCTTCACACTTATAGATCATCGGATCAATCAATCAATCAATCAATTAATCACTCACTTTCTGCCCATAGCCATCATCAAGTATAGGCCACAACTGATTAATATGAAACCGCACGACAAAAATGTCGTCAAACCAATACAGAAGAAGAAGGGAATGGCGGCAAAACTAAAGACAGACAATCAATAATTAGATATTAATTACTTAATCAATCACTTAAATTGTAAAAAAATATCAAAAAACTAATGATTACAAGAGATAGACAGTGGCTTTAATCCAATGAGGTTTGGCCTCCAAATAGCTGGACGGAGTGTACGCGTGTTGAAAGTACGTGCAAAAACAGGGCGCCTCCAAGACTATCATAAATGTGCCCTCAATTCTAGTATAAGGTTAATAAAAACACAGAAAAATCAGATAATCAGAAATGACAGGTTGTTGTTGTTGTGGACACCAATCAATCAATCAATACTTACGCCAATAGACCGCCGGCCAGAATACAGGTAGCGTTCAGACCCAACAAACTGGTGAACAAACTTAAGACACCGATAAATATGGCGACTATTATTAAAATACAGATTATTTGTAGTTATATTATAAACAAAAAATGAATTGACATACATATGCCCGCAATAGTGGACACCACTTTAGCTCCGGTACTCATAAGCCACGGCACGTCCGACTGGGGCGCCGGTGGCGGCGATAAAGTGGTCGCCGTAGTCGGCGTCTGGGAATTGGATCTCAAGAAATTCATCTCTTCAGAGGCGCTAAATATGGGATCAGTTGTTGATTTTGTCTTCAATTGTATATATCATATGATAATTTAATTCAAGACAACAGTTGTTATGTATAATAATAAAAAATATCCTAAAAAAATGTTTCAATACTTCCGACAAACTTATGTTTAACTAAAAAACAAATAATAAAATGTCTATAATTTTTTTGTTGAGATAATAATAGACAGTAAGTAATAAATGGCTAACAATACTGTAATAATGTATTACATACACAATGTATACGTTTTTTTCAAGCAATTTATTGTTTGATAAGAAAAATTATATCACAAAATACAGTATTATTAATAATAAATGGCTTTTTTAAAAATGTGAATAAATATCAGTTAATACATTATATATAGTATTAACAATATTAATGGCAATCGAGTATTGTATTAATTAAAAAATAAATAAAAATAGTAACTCAAGTGTCTAATCATAAAATTATTACACAATTTATTTGTCAATACATTATAAATGTATTGTTGTTGTTATGAAAACAAACTGATAACACGTTTCACTCGTAATAATAATAATAATGTCAAACACAAACTGAGTGACGAAATTAATGACAATTTTTTTGTGTATTAAACATATATTAATGGCTCGACTTTTAAAATTGTTATAAAAATTGTTAAGAATTTTTTTAAAATTACATTATAAGTGATACAAACTTTTTGTTTAATTAATTTTATTTTATTTATATATATTACAAACTTTATAACATACAGTAAATATGAGATAATTGGAAAATAATTATAATATCAAATACTATAGTATTAATAATAATACTAGTATTATATAATAAGCAAATTGTTTCTCTAAAGTTTTTGTATAAATTAATTTAATAATAAATATTTAAATCATCTTTTCTACTAAATTTTCCATAAAAATATAATACTGTAATAAGTTTTTATATAAAATTATGTATTAAATATAATATAATACAATCCAACACAATATAAATATTATTATAGACTATTATCAGTTTTCTAATAAAAATTTTAATATCATATATAATTTTTTTTATTACTATTAAAACTAGACATTTAAATGAAGTAACTTCTATTACTTTATGTAAATATATAAAATTAATATATAAATATATAATTTTTATTATTAATTATAAGTATAGTACTTTTTAATTATAAAAATAAATCTTTAAATAAATTTTTATTTTTTGTTTATAAAAATAATACTACGCTATTAAAAATTTAATGTAAATTATTTTCCAGGATATATTTTAATTAACATATATTTGAAGTTACAATTAATAATTAATTAAAATTTAATTATTACTAATGTTTATTATTTCTATATTTCTACATTTATATATAAATAATAACAATAACAAGTTATAAAAGTCAATTAGATTTATACTGAAATAAAATTGAAAAAAATATAATAAATTATTTTTTTAATGTTTTGTCACACAATTCATTGAAGCGTTACGTGAGATGAATGAATCGTTTAAATAAAATTTGTGCCTTAAATGCAATTTAACACTAGATTAGAGATTATGTAAATCTCATTAAATATATATATCTTTTAATGAAATACAGTATGTTTTTGATCGATGTTTTGTCTTGAAAATCACTTAATTTTTAAATATCAGTACATTTTTATTTACATTAACTAATAATGTTTAGTTATTGACCGATTTTTTTCAAGCGTTTCAAATTAGATATATTACTTATAATTTTTAATTAAAATTATTGAAAATTGGAAAAAACATTATTTTGTCATTTTATAAATAATATAATAATTAATCTTTTTTTCTTATTAATGATTTTATTTTTTGGCAAATTATGTTTTGAATATATTATATTATATTAGTTTATTTTTCAAATTTTTATAGATTTCCAATTCACCTAAATTGCAAAATAAAATATCCAGGAATTTATTTTTGAATTTTTTGAATTATATAAAATGTTAACTTATTTTTTAAATTTTTAAAATTCACAATGAAATAATTTAATTTTGTTTTGTTAAATTTTTATTTGAAACATAAAACAAACAGATAAATAAATAATTTTATTTGCATGAGATAAACCAAATTTGTCACTAATTTATAATTGATATCATATCAGACATAAACTTTTTTTGTGTTTTGTTGTAATTTAAAAATGAGTTATTATAATTCAAAAAAGTTTTTTATTTTTGCATAATTTTTGTAACTTTTGTTTTTAATTTTTATAAAAGATAATACAATTAGAATATATATTTTTTTATGTTTTATTTTTAATATATTATTAGTTTAAGGAAATTTTGAATTAAATGTTTTTATTATAGAATTTTTTTAATTTAATTTCTAATCAAATCAGTATACAGTATAACTATTTTATTTACATAATATACTGATATATTATAAATTGAAATATATTAATAAATATGTTAATTTATTTATTTCATTAAATAACAATTTAAATAATACAATGAACTCAAAATAGAAATATATATATTTATATTTATTTTAGATTTTTGTTGTTGTAATTATCATATATTATATACAGGTATTTATAAAGTTTATTATACTAATAAAGCAATTTATTTTTAAAAAAATATAAATTACTTTTACGTTTACTATAGATATTAGTTATTCAATTTATATATATTTAATATTAGTTATTTTAAATATAATTTCAAGTTTATATTAGGATGAATGAAATTTGTCCAAGGCTAAATTTCTTTAACAGTAATCCTAATTAATTTAAAAATTATTAATTTTTTTGTGAAGAAATATTCAAATGTTCAAAAACAAAACAAAAAATACAAAAACAAATAGTATGAGACATTTTAACAGTATAATTAATAATATTTGTTTTCAAATTTATTATACTGTAATTATAATTTCAATTAGTAATTAGTTGATGACTGATAAAAATCTTAAATTAAAAAAATGTGTTTTTTTGTTGTCGTAAAGAAACTTATATTAACACAAAAATAAATCCTTTAATATTAAAAATAAAATACTTTATGATATTTTTTATTGCAGTAAAAAAATCATTTTTATTTTATTTTCTTTGACATCAACTTTGAATAGTATTTTATTTAAAACAAACTATTTATTCAAAATGTTTATAATATTTAACTTTTTTTGAGCTAAAAAAATGAAGCATAAAATTTTGCAAAAATTATATACAATAATAAATTTTATGTTGTATTATATAAGTTATCATATTTTGTTTGTCAAGATTTGAGACCCAATTTTGAATGTCATTATCTGTTGTTAACTGTTTTGCATTTATTATAAATTTATTATATTTTGTGTTCCCATTCATAGCTAAAATACATTTTTGAGATGATTTGATTGTTATCTATAAACTTATTACGAGAGAGAGAGAGAGAGAGAGAGAGAGAGAGAGAGAGATCTTATTAACAATTTATTACTTTTAGTTTTATTAATTGCAAGCAACTTTAAATTTTTATTATTGAAAATGTAGTAAATTTTTTAAATGATAGTTGTAATAATCATAATTATATATTAAATTATTTAAAATATAATATTTTTCATATTAAATTTAATCCTTATTTCTAAATATTTATATTTAAAAAATCATAAATTTATTATAAATCCTAGCTTTTGATAACAGAGAACTAATAATAATGATAATATTTGTATAATGACATTGATTATTTAAATTTTTTATTAAAATTAATTTAAATAATCATATCTTATAAAGTAAAACATATTAATAAAACATGAGATGATTATCAATTATTAAACAATGTAATTGATTAGTAAACTAGATATACTTATCTAAAAGTATTATAAATTAGATAAAGTACTGTATTTATATTGTTGTTATTGATATTAATGTATTTTTTACTATACTGTAGTTTAACTATAAAATAAAACTTAAGCTACTTATCAATTTCATTGACTAATATTAATTTATATACTTATTTTTACATAAAAAACAAAAATAATACTACAAATAATAATTAAAAGTCATAACAACAAATTAAACGTTAATATAACTATTAATATTAAACTATTTTCACTTAACTGAATTCACTGTATATACAATATATAGATTTTTCATTGATTAAAAACTAAATTTTAAAAAATTAATATAATATTAACTACAGTAGTTATAATTCTAACTATAATATCTAACTATAAGTCTAATAGTTTTAATACTATTAGACTTATAGTTAGATATTATAGTTAGAATTAGAACATACTGTACATGTATATAATAAATACTTTTTAAAATAATTAATTTATTAAATGCTATCAAATGCAATAATATAGATAAAAATTGAGTTTTATATTTTAATAAATAATTAAATAATCAGATAATATTATAGTTTCACCCACAATTAAAATATTTTCCAATAAATTTTAAAATATATACCATAAATATAGTTAAAAATATACATAAATTTCATCAGCCACTTAGAAAATGTCATAAAAAATTTTAAACTATAAAAGGTTACCTAATATTAAAATATTATTGCAATAATATAATTCATATAATATAGATAATAAATTTTAGTTAAGATAATGATTTAGATAGACAGCAAAGAATTTATAAAATATTATTTTTTTGTAATAATAATAATAATAAAAATGAAATTTTATTTGTTTAGAAAATTGAATGTTGAAAACAAAAAATGCAATTAATTTATAAATATATATATATATATATAAACTGAGAGATCATAACCGCGATTAATAGAAAACTAAAAACTTTTAGTGCCTCACAAAAAATATAAAGTTTATTATATGTTTTTATTTTCACAAATAAAAAAGTAGCCCTTAAACAGAAAAAAGTAAATTTAGAAATAAATTTCTATAATTTCTTATTGCATAACAAACAACAACAAAATAATGTCAGTAATAGAAAGACCACAAATTAGATTTACTCAACTATTTATTGACAATGAATTTAGAAAATCAATTAATAATAAAAAATTTCCGACAATTAATCCATCGACTGGCGATGTAATTGCAGAGATCGAGGAAGCGGACAAAGATGATGTCGATCAGGCGGTCAGTGCCGCACAAAAAGCTGTCGAATTGGGATCGGAGTGGAGGACTATGGATGCCTCACAACGGGGACGACTGCTTCATAAATTGGCTGACCTTATGGAAAGGGATGCCGATTATATAGCCGTAAATATATAAAACTTACATTTTCTAATATGCATACACTAATTGAATCAATTGATTGTTTTTGTTGTAAAAAAATTAAAAACTATTTAATAATTTTTATTTATAATTTAGACTTTAGATACACTGGAAAATGGTTTGACAATCACTGATACGAGACATTCATTGAAGTTTGGTGTCGAACTCATACGGTATTACGCGGGCTGGCCGGACAAACTACATGGCAAGACTATACCCGCAGGTTTGATTGAATTACATATGTTTTCAGTGATAATACCTAAAAATTTTTTGATTATAATGTTACCCACTATTTAGATGGCAATGTTACAACTATAACCCGATTAGAGCCCAAAGGTGTCTGTGCTATAATAATTCCCTGGAATGCACCGGTAGTTATGCTATCGAAAACTATTGGTCCGGCACTGGCCGCCGGTAATACAGTTATTGTTAAACCGGCTGAACAAACATCATTGAGTGCATTGTATATCGCGAGTCTGACAAAAGAGGCCGGTTTTCCTACCGGTGTATTCAATGTGGTTTGCGGTTACGGACCAATTACCGGTGCGGCACTGTCTGAGCACATGGATGTCGATAAGATAACCTTTACCGGCTCAACATCTGTTGGCAAACTCATTCAACAAGCATCGGGAAAGTCAAACCTTAAAAGTGTTACATTAGAATTGGGAGGTAAGAGTCCGTTGGTTATCTTTGACGACGCCGACATCGATGAGGCCGTCAATTTGGCGCACTTTGCTGTGTTTGTATGCAACGGACAGGTATGCTGTGCTGGTAGTCGTACTTTTGTCCAGGAAGGCATTTACGACCAATTTGTCAAACGAAGTGTTGAACTATCGGCTGCTCGAGTGGTTGGCGATCCGTTCAATACCAATACAGTTCAGGGACCGCAAGTAAATGCACAACAGCTGAATAAAATCATTGAACTAATCGATAGCGGCGTCAAAGAGGGTGCAAAATTGGAAACAGGAGGCAAACGAATCGGTAATAGAGGTTACTTTGTAGAGCCAACAGTCTTTTCCAATGTTAGCGATGATATGCGTATTGCCAAAGAGGAAATATTTGGACCAGTTCAGCAGATAATCAAATTTAAGACAATGGATGAAGTGATTAGACGATCCAATAATACAATCTATGGCTTGGGATCCGGTATTGTAACCAAAAGTTTGGATAATGTTCTTACGTACTCACAGGCAGTTAAAGCCGGTACTGTTTGGGTGAACTGTTACTTTGTGGTAACACCGCAGACACCAATTGGCGGCTATAAAATGTCGGGTTTTGGTCGAGAATTTGGCGAAAATGCTTTGTATGAATACATTGAGGAAAAGACAATCACTATTAGAGTAGACAATAAAAATTCATAATCAAAAATTAATTAATTGAATGATATTTTTGAATGGTTTGGTACAGTATTTTTTGAAATGGATCAGATTGGGTGATGATATAATAATACATTATAATAATTTTAGCGATAAGTGATAAAATATTTAAAAATAAATTTATTATCTTTATATTCAATATATAGTTATCAATGATTATTACACTTATATATACACAAAAAACAACAATTTCTATGAATTCAAACAATATATGATTTCAAGATATGTTTGGACACAATAATGATAATAAACTAAATTCTGTTTTCATAAGTTTTAATTAATTTTAAAAATTAATATTAAATTAAACTTACAAATGATTTATAACAAAATCAATCTTTCGGTTCATCTTTAATCTCGACTTCGGCAGCGATGTCGTCGTCATCAGACTCGTCGACTGACTGTTCGTGAAGTACAACATATTCTCGAGTACTGAAACCAAATTTGATGACATCCTTCTCGAATAGTTCATAGTATCGTTTCGGTTCAATCTTCTGGTTGTTAACAAACGTGCCATTAGCTGATTCCAAGTCAATAATATAAGGCCGAACTCGTTTACTGATGGTGTCGTCGTCTTTCTTGTACTCCATAAGACGAAACTGTACCACAGAATGTTGTTTGGAACAACTCGGGTGATCAATGGGTATGTCAGCTACTTTGCGATCTCTTCCCATCAGATAAGCACTTTGTCGATGAATAGGAATGAATTCAAGTGAATCGTCGCCTTTGAACGGATATAAACGCCACCGACGTTTCGGTTTGCGGGCTTCTGGCGGCTGATTGTATTTAATAACAACTCCGTTATACATATTTGTGTCTTCGGCCAACTTTCCGGTTGTCTGCAAATTTGGTTTCTCTTTTTCTTTGGGTTCCTCCTCTTCCTCATCATTGTTATGGCCTCTAGTCTTGCTTTTGGCCTCTTTTGACCAAAACTCGCCATTATTTCTATCTTTTCCATCAAAATCGTTATGTCTTCTCGTGTGAGTATCTCTATCTCGACGACGATTATTATCTCCTCTATAATTATTGTCGCTATTTCTGTGTTCATCATGTCTTCTATAATCTCGATTATTGTGATATCGATTATCATGTCTTGGCTGCTGCTGGTCATCATGTCTTCGTCCGCGTTGTTCACCAATAGCTCGATGTCTTAACTCATTGTAAGCCAATTGTCGATCCTTTGGTGATCTATCTCTGTTGTGGTGATCCTTTGTTCTTCTTCTATCATATTTATCTCTATCCCTGTCTCGGGAATCACTTCTTCGACTACTCATATCTTTTCAGTTAACAAACAAAATATGGTTCAAAAACTTTGATAAAAACGAAACAAAATAAACAATAATTGATTCAAACATTTCATGTGTTTGTATTTGACATTCAATTTCAATGCTTTTGCCAATAGATGTCATCAGAAAAATGATTAATACATTAAATGTAGAAATGTTTTCAAGAGATTGTGTTATAAAATAAGTTTTTTATTAAATTATTTGTTTATATGTTTTATTAAATTAAATTATTAATTATTAATCAATTGTCGCCAAATTCACATTTTAATATGTCATCCAATTTGGATCTTTTGGCCAAATTGTCAACTTTTGCCGCATATTTACCATCTTTTAAGAAGCCTTTTGTATTCGGCATTATCTCTAATAATCTAAAAAATAAAAATTATTAATACATATATTAAATTGTTATCATAATTAACTTAATTACTATAAATTTTATTTTTTCAAAAAAAAGTTAACAATCAATCATTACTTTGGTATAAATCGTTGTATTAAATCTTGATTACCGGCCAAAGCTAACTGTCCCGAGCTATTACTATTAGTACTGTCATCAGTGACGGTAAGTACGACCAGTGTATTGTCGATATGTTGTTTAACTTCCATCAAATAAATGGTAATAAAATCGATATCACTTTCTTTGCGATGAATCGACACATATTTTGGTTTGGGATTCATTTCTAAGAAATTTTTGGCCTCGAGTTTAGCCAAATCTCTCATAGCATTCAAACAATTTTTTTGCGACACTTTTAATGACTTCTTTAGTTTGTCAATCATTGATATAAACTCTTCAGATGTACATCTAAATCAAATGTACGGTTAAATAAATAATTGACAAAATTAAAGATAATTTTAAAAAAATAATACTTTAATGAAGAGTTGAGAAGTTTTTCTCGTTTGTAAGTCTTATCCAAATAAGTGAGAACTCGTTTTCCGCACAAAAAATAAAGATTTGTTTTATTCTTCTTTCCTTTTTCTGCAGACAAAAGTTTTATCGTCTGAATTGATTTGAATAAATAAAAACAAAAACATTAAATTACGGTATTATTTAAAATAATTACAGAATTACTTGTAAATGACTTAAATTGGAGACATGAGTTCCACAACAAGTATTTTCATCGACACCCTCAATGGTTATCACTCGAATGGGTCCACTTTGATCTTCGGGTATCATTAATCGAGTGCTAATCTCTTCGAGACGTTTATCGTTTTTATCATATAAAGTGACCGAAACGGGAGCCGAAATACGTATCTTTTCGTTGACCAACTCTTCTAATTGTCTGACAGTGTCATCGGAAACTTCTTTGGCATCCAATTCAATGAACGAAACTTCATCGCCGAGATTCCAGGAAGTGGTTTTCAAACCGTATGTTTGTTCGGCTACGGCAGTGATCAGATGTTGACCAGAATGTTGTTGCATGTGATCGAAACGTCGCGACCAATCGACCCGTAAGTAAACTTCTGAATTCATTTCGAGTGGTTCTTCACTCAGAACAAAATGAATGGCAGTGTCACCATCACGACGGACATCGACAACTCGTTTGTCATCAATTGTTCCCCAATCGCATGGCTTCGCAAAAAAACTTGTTATACAAATAAATGGCCACATCTTGTATAAGTACCAATACCTGTCCGCCGCCTTCTGGAAACAGAATAGTGTCCTCAAGAATCACTTCATAACCCGATTGTTTGATTCCTTTATTCTTCGATTCATTTGATTTGCATGACTTGACTCTTGTTTTGAACTGACATTAAAAAAAATAATTTGAAATAAAAAAATAAAATAATTAATCACAAAAAATCAATACCTCTTTAAGATAACTATCTGATTGACATTTAAATAGCATTTTTTAATTTGAAATAAAAATTAAAAACAATAATTTACTAATGAATTTGTTGTCGACATACAAACCTATGGATCAATTGGTTGTCGACATCTATTGTCGAGATATTGAAAGCCAAACAACACATTCAAACATCAATTGAATTGCACTTAAGAGACAGTCCCTCAATAGTCTGTATTGAAGTCTTCCTTTTCCTGTATTGTTTCCAAACGTGTCTATCGTTTTTTGGATTCAGTTGTCTTAAATTCAACAACAGATCCTCCCGAAGATTATGAACGAAGATTGGACTGAGTCCACCGCTGTGGCCACTGGTGCCGAACCTATTGAAATCAAACTGTTTGGTCGCTGGAGTTCGAGCGATGTCCAGGTGTCGGACATCTCGTTGACGGTAAGTCACTAAATAGTTGTTGTCATTGTCATCAACTGAGGATTAATTATATTTTATCTTTTAATTACAGGACTATATTGCCGTCAAAGAGAAGTACGCTCGGTATTTGCCGCACAGTTCTGGTCGATACGCGGCCAAGCGATTCCGCAAAGCCCAGTGTCCTATTGTCGAACGGCTGACCAATTCGATGCAAATGCACGGCCGAAACAATGGCAAGAAGCTGTTGGCCGTCCGTATTGTCAAACATGCATTTGAAATCATTCATTTGCTTACTGGCGACAATCCGCTCCAGATTCTCGTCAACGCTATCATCAATAGCGGACCGCGTGAAGACTCGACACGTATCGGTCGAGCCGGTACTGTCCGTCGTCAGGCTGTCGATGTGTCGCCATTGAGACGCGTCAATCAGGCCATCTGGTTGTTGTGTACCGGCGCTCGTGAGGCTGCCTTCAGGAACATCAAGACTATTGCTGAATGTTTGGCTGACGAACTGATCAATGCTGCAAAGGTAATGGATTTTTGTGAACATGTTTTACTAAATGGATTTGTTTTAATGTTGTATTTGTTTGGATCTTCAGGGCTCATCTAACAGTTATGCCATCAAGAAGAAGGACGAATTGGAAAGAGTAGCCAAATCTAATCGTTAATTACTTTAAACAATAATTGATTGAATGTGTAATACGTTATTAATAAAGTAATGACACAAATAAATTGCGATAATTTTTTGAAGATTTATTGAAAATCTATTTAATTTTTTTGTTTATTGAAGTAATAATAATATAAAATAATTTATTTGATAATTAACTGAATTGAGATTTAGTTTAACGTTTGTTTGACTATTTTTTTAATTACCTGTAATTTAATGAATATGTTTGTTGTCGTCACCACATATATGACTGACCCCTAGAGTTGCGTAACTTTAATCACGTGTTGATGTTTTGGTATAATAAACAAAAATTAGTGATTATTAGTAATGAAATTATTTATGAATTAATATTTGATATTAAAATCATTGATAATTTATCCAATGATTAAAACATTATGTATTTTAATGGTTTGTCTGTCACTACAACTAAAACTCAATTATTGTTATGCAATCAATTGATCCGTAAAAGACTTGTCCAATCAGTTGGCAGACGTAATATTTCCTCGACAACAAAATGGTCATCAAAAGTATCGGCCACTTCTTACTTGTTATTGGTTTGTATTGTTATGTTATTTGATTAATTTGACTGAAGATGATTTGGATTTAATTATATATAATTATAATGATAATAACCCCCTAATGATTGTCTCCCATTCAGGCGATACCGTCGGCTACCTTTTGTCTGGGCTGTTGGCAAATTCAGAGAAGACAATGGAAATTGGATCTAATCGATAGATTAGAACAGTTGACAAAACTATCGGCCGTCGATCTTCCCGAAGAGTCAGTTATTTGTTTTTTTGGTCATTAAAATGAATGAGTAGTTAATATTAATTATTATTTCTTATACCGGTTTTTGACTGTAGTTTAGATGAATTATCAGAACTAGAATACAGAAAAGTCAAACTTCGAGGAAGGTTTGACAACTCAATGGAGATGTATATCAGTCCGCGTTCTTTGCTTCAGACGGAAGACCATAGAAATAGTTCTGTATTTAGTAAATCTACGAAAGACTCGATCGGTGTTTGGGTTATAACACCGTTTGAATTGAAAGGCAAAGACACAAGAATTTTGGTCAACAGAGGTTGGGTTCATAGATCACAAATGGATCCAAAAACGAGACCAAATGGTCAAACTGGTGAAGAAATTGAATTGATTGGTATCGTCCGTAATACAGAAAAGGTATTTTTTAAATAATAATAATATAGATTACATGTTAATACTGTAATAAATTATATAAATATGAAACTATAGAGACAGCCATTTGGTTTGAAAAACGATGAGAAGTCCAATGTATGGCATTATAGAGACATAGAAGGAATGGCCCGACGGCTTAATACATTACCGTTAATATTTGATGCCGACTATAACAGTACAATACCCGGCGGTCCTATTGGCGGACAGACTCGTGTTAGTCTGAGAAATGAACACATGTCTTATATTATCACATGGTATGTTCAATATTGATATCATCGGTGGTTAAATTGTTTTTTTTGTATAACATTTTTTTTAATTAACAATAGGTTTGGCTTATCAATCATCACATTTTATTTATGGTATTTAAAAATTTATAAACGAAAACGAGTATTTTAAAGATAAGTTAGAATATATTTTTACTTTACCTATAAATATAAGTAAATAATTGCAAATACAGTATAATTTATATATACAGTTTTACAGTAAATCAAAATAAATTGAAAAAATATATTTCTTATTTATAATGAAATTAATTTATATATTGTAATTATTTATATATATTGAAATAAAAAATATTAATAACTATAATAACTTTTTTAATATTATTCAATCTTGAAATAATAAAAACAAACAATAGTTTATTATCATTGAAAAAATAATTATGTAACAAAAATACTTGTATTATTTACATTTTTATTGTAAAAATAATTATTATAATTAAAACATGATTTTTGTTGTAAATAATTGGTTAAACAACAAAAAAATAATATATTTCTAATTAATTGATAGCTAAGAGAGTTATATAATTAATATAAAGTTTTTTACATAACTGTGTTCTCTCTCTCTCTCTCTCTCTGTCTGTCTCTCTCTACGGTATATTCACGTCACAGTGTTTGTGTTGAGCACTGGTATTATATTCATTGATGCACTGGTTTGAGTGGAAGCACTGGTAGGCCATTGCTTTGTGTTATGTGTATTGACTCTGTAGTGAAATGGTTGCGACATACAAGTCAAGGACAGCGTATACTATACTACTAAACACTGTATTGATGTGTATAACAGTCTATAATATATGATATATTACACTACTATAGAGTATATATGATATATATATATATATATATATATATATGTGAGCACTACTCGTACATTGTGTTTGCAAACATACAGTGAGTGTAGTGTTGTGTTTGAGTCAAACAACTGAACCAACAATTTAGTGACCCATTAATTGATCCCAAAAGACAAACAAACCACAAAAAACACGACCACTACGGATGACCTAATGGATGGCCACGACTCTAATGGTAAGTGTGTTTTGATGCATCCAATTGATCCATACTATTAGATGGTTAATAAAGACTGTATGTGTCTGTGTATGTCTAATACATACCGACATTGAGGGACACAAAGCAAAAGCCAGTGTTTGTGTCCTCGACAGTGACGGTCATTGACTTGGCGTCCAAAAACTCATTGTCGCTTAAGATATCATCACAAAAAAATCAATGATATCTTTAAATAATCACTACTTGATTACACAAATAATAATTATTATCAAAAATATATGATAAGATGTTTTTGGTGTTTACTTATTAATAGATATTGTGTTTACAAATATGATATATTATATGATGTGATACTCAATCACTAACTAATTAATTAAGTAATTAATGAAATCATCTTTTTTTTGTCAATTGATTTGTTTGCAAAAACTACTGTTTGATTAATGAATGAATTAATGAATGAATCGATTTGTTGTTATAATTAAAATAATATTTGTTTGTTTGTTAGTCTTTCTATTTCTCTTATCACCAAAAAAGTTGGTCCTAAAAAACTGATATCATATGTTATTTTTATCTTTTTTCATATCATTCATTTAATATTAATGGGCGAAAATCAGTGACACATTAATGATAGTAGAGGTGGTGATTGAGAGGTATTTACTATTGATAGACAAAAACAAAAATCAAAACACTCTCCAAAAAAATATGAGTGCCTTAAGAGTGGTAACACTAGACGTGACCAACACATTGATCACTTTGAAGAACAGTATTGGACACGAATATATCAAAGCAATGCAATTGTATTGTACAACACAAGCTGTTAGACTACATCCCAATTGTCTCAGTGACCGACAAAACGATTTGTCCAAAGCATTCACTACTGTCTGGAAGGATATGAACGCCAAACACGAAAACTTTGGTTTCAAGAGTGGTATGTCTTCGGTCGAGTGGTGGACACAAGTCGTCAAACGGACTGTACGTTTGGCAAACTTTTCAGTCGACGATCTAAACGACAATCAATTGGATTTGATGGCAAAGTATTTGTACAGAGCTTACTGTTCGCCACAGTTTTGGACCGTTGATGTCGGTGTTCATCAAGCGATGACAGATATCAAGAAAAGTAATCCCGACTTAAAGTTGGGTATCATTTCTAACTTTGATGAAAGACTTGGACGTATTCTTCAAGAACTCGGTTTAAGACATTACTTTGATTTTCTAATAATCTCGCGATTGGTCGGCTGTTGTAAGCCATCGGCTGATATCTTTAATTTGGCACTCAATACGGCCGAACTGAGCGATCCGTCACTGGCCTTACATATCGGCGATAATATTGAATTGGATTATTTGTGTGCAAAGAGATTGGGTTGGAATGCATTACTACTTAACCGTAATAATAGACATAACAATAACAACAACCTCTCCAATGATCAACGATTGTCGCCAATTGATATTATCAGTGATTTAAAACAATTGCCAAATCATAGATATTTTTTAGATTAATTGTATAATTGTAATACTGATTAATTAAATTGCTATTTAAGCTAAATGTCGATTCACTTAAAATTATTATTATACGTATACTTAATATTTAATTGTTGAGATACTGTATATATATATATATATATAGTGATGGTTTGCATCACTAGATGTCTGGGTATTATTAAGCGGAGTTGTGTTTGTTGTCTAAAGTTGTTAGACAAGTGATGCAACAATTGATATGTTGTGTGTATATAGTATTAGTATTGCCAGTACTCTCTCTCTCTCTATCTCTGTATGAAATTTTTTTATATTAAATAGTTAGTTGTATACAGTACTACACTATGGAGTAGTTAGTTAGGTAGTGATGTTCAATGCAATCAATTACTAGGAGTACTACAACAGTATATATATATATATATATATTTGTTTTGGTTCAGCTTTCGTGCAATTGGTTGCATAAGTATTCAAAGGGATGTGTGTTATAGCGAAAAATTACTAAAAAATGTTTTAGAGAGAGAGAGAGAGAGAAATCCAGTTTTCAAGTTTTACCAGTCATTACAACAAAATTTATATTCAAATGACTGCTTTTATCATCAATATATTGGAAAAACATTTAAATTATTGTTATTGTTGTTATTAATTTTTTTTAAAAAAAAGTATATTTTGAAACAAAAAAAATGTTTAATAATCAAATATATAAGTAGTAGTTAGTTTGTTAGTTAAGTAGTCATCAAATGTACAAAAAAGAGAGACCTAAGCTCAGTGTCACAGCATTACTCTATGGCACTCAAAGTCCCAATACATGGATTCAACAACACTCAGGTATGCAGACAAATATATATACTCATCCCTCTCTCTCTCTCCTATCTCTGTGTGTCCCCAATTGAATGATGGCTAAGTAGTAACAGAGAAATAGCTATAACTTTATATATTTTTAATATATAGGTTAGTGTTATATTTTGATATCAAAAAAAAAAATTCTTTAGTATATAAATAAATAAATAAATAAATAAATAAATAATATAATCTATTATTGTTGTTGTTGTTAACAATTGCACACTAATCCTCGATTTTTATTTAAACAAAACTTTTTTGTTTTAAAGTATTAAACGTTTGCTCTCTATATGTGTGTTAAACTTTTTAAAAACATTTAATTTTTTGTTATATATATAAAAAAAAAAAAATTTTGTTTTATATTGTCATGTGATTTTGGATAGATTTAGATAAACAATCTTATATAATAACAATTTAAAAATCAACAAATAGCTAATTAATTAATTAGAGAAAAAAATATTTATATAAAATATCTTAAGTGTTAAGCTAAATGAAAAAACAAAATTAAGTAATTGTACTTAAAATCGATTAAATATAATGTTAAGAAACTATTAATAATTTATGTTAATGTCATTCTCATTGCCAATGAAATTCAATGTCAATGAATATAATAATAATAATGTATATAAATGTATGCATTTATAAATATATGAGAATATATTAAAGTGACTTATAGTTAGTTAAGTTAAGTTAGTTATAGACTTATAATGTAGTAGTAGTCGGTTGTTGTAATAGTATAGTTAGTTAGTTAGTCGGATAAAAAATATAATAAACTATTAAAAGTTATTTAACTAAAAGTATTTTTTTCTCTCTCTCTCTCTCTCTCTCTCTCTCTCTCTCTCTCTCTCTCTCTCTCTCTCTCTCTCTCTCTCTAAATGTCATTAAAACAGTATTTACTACAGTATTATTGATATTATTGAAGTCAGTGTAGATGTTTTTGCTAACTAATTAGTGTTTGAAAAAATCCTATGGTATAGTTAGTTATTACATACATGAAAATGGTATGCATTGGCACAACCATTTCAGGTGCACATCGGCCTTGAATGTGTTGAGTCTCGCGTGTTTAGACTGTCATAGAAACTATAGATAAATTTATTTTTTTATATTATAAATTTTTTTTTTAGTGAAACAATGTTTTAATTCAGATTCAAACATTAATATTTTAATAATATATATATAAAATATTACTTATACTATATATAAAAATATATATTACTAGTACTTAAAATGCCGAACAAACAGTATATAAATAACCTTCAATTGACCTTCAAATCAATATACAACTGTGTGGGTGACTGTGCTCTCTCTCTCTCTCTCTCTCTCTCTCTCTGAAACTCTTTCTTTAAAGATCCCAATAAACTATGGTTTTTATCATATATTTAAGAAACCCTTTCATCTTTAATTTTATTATACAATAATATTGTAGTTTTATGATAGATATGCTGTATATTTATATATACATATATATAACATATTAGGGTCTTTGCCAAAAACAACATTTAATTGCAAATAAGATTTTTGTAAATATATTGTGCGTTCATTGTATTATTATTATTATTATGAAAGCATCGCATTTTTTTAATTAAATATAAAATAGCCTATATATATGCATATACTGTATTTATATAATATATAGTATATAAATACTGTAGATATACATTGGTATTTATATATATATGTCAACTAAATATTTAACAAAAAATTTAAACTTATTAAAACCAATTATGTTTTTAGAAATTAGTATTATTATTATATATTTAATAGTCTATAAAAACATATTTGTTAACACATCTAATAATAAACTAATTACTAAGTCCAACATCTTATCAATTGCGGTGTGTATACAGTATGTGTGTCTATATGTGTATATATATATATATATATATATATATATACTGTAAATATATATCTAAAAATCTTATCATCAAATTAAACAAATGTAGAAAATTTTTATGTTTTAAAAGCAAAAATAAAAAAAGTAGTTCATTAGCTTTGAAGAGCCCACAAAAATTGTAGATAAAAATATCAAGGTTTGGTTTGTTTGGATGTATATATCAACAGAGTTGTTGTGCAACACAAGCACAACACTATACATACGTATAAAAACTGGCAAAACGGCAAAACTGTTGTCACGGTTTCTATTGGGTGTCTTATAAATTCATAACTCATTCCCATCTAATAATAATACTGTATATAAAAGTTATAAATTGACTTTTTTTTATTATTATTATTAATAATATCATTATACATGTATTATGGTGTGTATAATAAATAATAATATTAGTGTTGTTAATTTCGAAACAATCAAATTTTTGATTATACATTTAGAAAAACATTTTTTGTAAAATTATCTAAAAAACCATTTTCTAGAAAAATTATCTTGTCTCATTTTGATTTTTGTTTGTTACAATTTTAGAAATATCATTACCATGACAATAATTTAGAATAATATCACCAACAACAAAAAATAATAATGATACTGTAATAATATTAATAATTATTATTAAGTATTTTTATGTTATTATCTTTAGTGCCAGTAAAAACCAAAAGCATTTGTTATTTTATAATTTACGCAATTGATCTAGTTGCAATTGCCAAACCAATTTACAAAATGCATGAATTGCGCATTTTGGGGGAAATCTTAACAACACTACTATCAATAATAAATTTTTGACGTTTAAAGAGTACACAGTGTGTACTACACACACACACACACACACACACACACATCATGTGACACATCATATAAAAGGAGTGCTAAAATGCAATAAAATACTTGTATATATATATATATTAAAAAAATACTATACTATATGTATATACCTGTAGTATAAAATATTTATTATTTGCATTAATACTAACTAAAAAATTATTATTATTAGAAATAGTTATTGTATATAAATTGTAACTAATTTTGAATGATTTTTTTATCTATTATTATTATTATAATTATCAATTATGCAAACAAATCATTGAATAAATAAATAAATGAATAGAAAATTTTTGTTGAAACTTGATTTAGCAAAATGTATGCTTCACATTATACATCTAGTGTTGCTAACTAACTTAATATTTATTTTTAACTTATTTCTATATATATTGTATATAAAAAGTCGTTAAATTAATAATGGGAAAAAATGTTCGGGGATAAATAAATATTTATTACTTGAAAAAGTCATACAGTACTTTACACACCTGTTGTCAATTGTTTTTACATAATTTTATTTTATTTTTAAAAAAATTCAATAAACTTATAAACAAAAGTATTTTGACACATAGTGTACATGTATATTTAATATATTTAATTATATTTTAATATTAAACAAGCTAATATATATATATATTTATAATATTATCCAATATTCATTTAAATATTCTTATTTTAATGATATATATATTTGTAAATATATATTCAAAATATTGGCAAAAAAATTATTGTTATTCTAATAATCTAGAGATCGATATTGAATTGTATCTCAAATAACGTAAAAATTGTTTTTTATTTCGTTGTTAACAAAATAGTTAAAAAGTTACATAAAAAATTGCAACATTTTTTATGATTCATAAATAATATTTTTATGATATATTGACTGTATATTATTACATTGGGTTATATTTCAAAATATATTACATTTGAAAACATTTATATATATTTATGTATATTAATTTATGTAATTACTTTTTTGTATTACGCTAATTGTTTTTAATTATCAGTCAATTTATTCAATCAATCAAACATTTTTTAACAATTTAAAATAACAATAGCGCTTTAAGCTTAATAATAATAATAATATATTAAAATATAATAATAAAAATAATATTTAGCAGTAGTTTAAAATAAAAACTATTACCGATTTTGGACAAACTAATTAAAAACATTATCAGAGATTTTTAATGATAAATAAATTTGTTTATTTAAAATTTTAATGGTATAGTAAATATAAATCATCAATTATGTATACATATTTGATTTGTAGTTATATATTTAAACTGAAAAAACTATTAGCAGATTTAATAATTAATAATATGTTATAACAATAATTATTACAGTTTATTTAAAAAGCATTATTATATAATTGGTTTATTACTGTATAATAATAGTTAAATATTTATTTCCTAAAAACCCGGTTTTAAAAATAAAAATAATTACGAAATATGTGTAACGAGTCATTTATTTTTAAACCCATATATTTGATTTATAGTGCGAGTTTTAAAATATATATTTTAATCAAATTATCAAAAGTTGTATTAAATAAAATTTGTTGACCAAAAATAATGAATTTAAAATATGGTTATCATTTTAAAGCCTCAAACGGAGCGACAAACGGCGGGACGTCAACTAACAGTGGGTCGCCGTCCAGTTCTATACCTCAATCTCCATATCAGAGCTCACTTTCCAATAACTTCAATGGACCGGCCGTTTCATCACCACAAGTGTCATCACCACAATCGGGAGGAGGAGGAGGCCGTTATCCACCGAACCATCCATTAAGCGGGTCTAAGCATCTCTGTTCCATATGCGGTGACAGAGCTTCGGGAAAACATTATGGCGTTTACAGGTTTGTCCAGTCAATTGATTGATCAATAATTAGGTTATATACAGTATTAACTAAAAATGTCTTTAATTTATTTTATGAAAAACACAGTTGTGAGGGATGTAAAGGCTTTTTCAAGAGAACCGTTCGCAAAGATCTGTCGTACGCCTGCAGAGAGGAACGGAATTGTATTATCGATAAACGACAGCGAAATCGATGTCAATACTGTCGTTACCAGAAATGTCTTCAGTGTGGTATGAAAAGAGAAGCCGTTCAGGAGGAAAGACAACGAACTAAAGATAAAGGCGATAATGAAGTCGAGAGTACAAGTAATTCACACCAGGATATGCCCATTGAACGCATCTGTGAAGCCGAGCAACGAATTGAGCCAAGAAATGATGAAGTAGTTGTCAAATGAAAACAAAAAATTTTGTTTTAAATTTGTTTTTATTTTTTGTGATTATATAGCGACCGGTGACCAATATAATGCAAGCAGCGGACCGACAGTTATACCAATTGGTTGAATGGGCTAAACATATTCCTCATTTCACTGATTTGCCGATTGAAGACCAAATGGTTCTATTGAAGACCGGTTGGAATGAGCTATTGATTGCCGAATTCTCCCACCGATCCATGAATGTTAAGGACGGAATTGTTTTTGCCAACAACATGATTGTTAACAGACCCGGCGCTCATGGAGCCGGCGTTGGCACCATTTTCGACCGGGTATTGACTGAATTGGTTGCGAAGATGCGCGAAATGAAAATGGATCGGACAGAACTGGGATGTCTGCGCTCTATTGTCCTCTTTAATCCCGGTATGACTTTTTTGTCTCACTATTAGTCATCGAAAGTTTTTTACTAAGAAAACGCATTTACCATTTGTTGTGTGTTTTGAATTATATAAATAGATGAACAAAAAAATTAACGATAATGACTGCAAACTTAGCTATTATTAGCCAAAAAAACATCTAAAGTTATCTTAAACTTATTTTTAACGGAAATTTTGTTATTTTTAATTTGTTGGCAAAAAATAATTTTAAGATATTTTAAAGTAATTCTTTCAAAGATAGAGAGAGAAAAAAAAATAAAGAGTTAAATAACATTCAAAATATGCGAATTTCATAATTATAAATAGTTTTTAAAAAATTATTTTTTTAATGAAAATAAATATTATAAATAAGAAATATAAATACATTTAGGAGATGTCTGTATTTAGTGAAATATTAATAATTATTTTATTTTGAATTTTTTTAGAGGCAAAAAATCTGCGATCAACACAACAGGTGGAAACATTACGGGAAAAATTATACGCTGTTCTCGAGGAGTATTGCAAACATAGCTATCCGGACCAACCGGGAAGGTTTGCCAAACTTTTACTCAGACTACCAGCACTTAGGAGTATTGGTCTCAAATGTCTTGAGCATCTGTTTCTGTGTAAACTTATGGCCGACACACCAATCGGTAAGAAAGAAGCCATAGGTATGTGTCAAACCATCAATCCGTACGCAATCTCTCTCTCTCTCTCTCTCTCTTTAACTATTTATTTGTGTGTTTATTTTATTTGCTTTTTTGAGTATTGATATTATTGTTATAATTGTTTTGTTAATTTTACGGTAATTATATTGTCTTACAATAATTTTAATGTATTTATTTATTTATTTTCAGATAATTATTTAATGACAATGCTAGAGTCCGGTAACGACACCTAATTAAGAAAAACCATTTAAAGAAAGACATCGATTACTATTTTAAAAGTTTATAAACAAAAATGTTTATTATATTATTGATTTATATATATTATATATACAGTACTAAAATATGTTATAAAACGTTACTACTATACTATGTAAACGATTAGTTTGGCAAACAAAAAAAGTGTGTCTAAGGATTTTATTCATTTTATTTTTTAATTACTCTTATTATTTGTTTAGTATTTTCTTTATTGACTAACTATATAAATATCATCGACTCTTTTTTTAATTATTAATAGACACTACACTCATAAAAATCATTAATTAATTTTGTTTTTGTGAAAAGAAAATACTGTTAACAAATATACCCACAAAAAATCAACTGTTTTTCGTTTCATTCCTTTTTGTATAAAAAAAAGTTAATATAAGGGATGATTTGAGTAATGTATAGTTTATTGTAATTACTGTTAAGTAAAGAGAGATTTACTAACAATATCTAAGTTATTATAAATTATTAGCATTTTTTGTTTGTTTTAATTATTGACGAAAAGAGATCTTAATTATAATATATATATATATTTATATTTTTTAGACTTCACTATTATTATAAAAGGATATGTTTTATAAAAATTTGTTAAAATATGGTTTCAAAGAGAAAAAAGTAATAATATGTAAAAAATAATAATTTAATTTAAGTTAAGACAAAATTTATTTATTTTTTAATTATTATAATTGACATCAAATTTATGGACACATAAATATATATATATATATATAAATAATTGTTATAAATTGATAAAAAAAATATGTAATTTTGAACGAATCGTTGTTTTTTATAATTGTTATAACGTTTGAAGATATTGTGACCAAATCTGTTGGTAATGTTATATGAAATGAAACTTTTCATCTATTATTATATATATTATATATACACTGTTTTATTGCTCTTTAAACTCATATAATTATAATGAAAACAAAAACAAAACAAAAATAACATTTTCATTATATATATATATTTGTTGTTATTATTATTCATTAATATTGTATTTCATTGTCTTATTCATTAGAATTAGAATTAATAATAATAATAATACTTTTTGAAATTTGTTTTGATTGTTTAACTTTTATGAATATCTTTTTTTTGTATATAATTTTCATTATTTTACACAAATTATTATTTTTATTGGTGGATGTATAATAATAATAATATTATTATTATAATATTAAAATTGTTTTTTTGTTTGTTTAATTATAACTTACCGGTATACTCACACAACAAACCACTTGTTTTTATTAAAGTTTGAAAAATTATATATATATACTATCTTTCGAATTATTTAATTATTATTTAATTATTATAAATATATATATTTCACTTATTTAATTACATTGTATTTTTAAAATTCATTTTAAAAATATTATTATAAATTTGTACTTTATATCAAAAAAAAAGTTAATTTAATTAAAAAGAAAAAACTGATGATTGTATTTAAAATCAAAATAATGAAATTTACAATAAACCTGATGAACAGTATTTGTTAAAATTTTTTTGTGGATTAAATTATGATATTAGTTATAAATAAATGTTTATATTATTTGTTGTTTTACTAAATTTTAATAGATATTTATGGATTACATATCAATTGGCATTTTAATTTGTAACAAAACAACATTGATAAAGTTATCTAGTACAGGTAATTATGAATTTTAAAAAATATCTACAATAATAATAATAATATTATTGAATAATACACTAATTAAAATAATTACTAGCAAAAAATATAAATCAATAATCAATTGTTTAATGATGTGATTTAAACTTTAGATTAAAATTAATTTAAACCTGGATGATTTTTTAAATAATAAAAATCACATTTAATTAACTGATATAAGCATAGTTAATGACAGTATACACATTAGATAACAATCCTATTGGGAATTACGTAAAAGGGGTTTTCATTAATCTCCGGCACGCGGTTTTTGCTATAATTCTTAAACGGAGTGAGATATATTAATTTTGTAAAAAGTGTATTAAAAAGTGATTTACGCGTGATAATATAAAATTAAAAATTTTTAATTTTGATCATGTGATCATATTTATTCTTGGATGTTTGCAAACCACTATGTCAGAATCTAACCTATAAATGTTAGAATAAATTTTCAATAGCATATTTGTAAAGCTTAAATTGAAAATTTATGGGTAGAAAAAATTTTTGAAATTTGTCAAAAAATAAATTTTTTATGGCTTTTCAAACATGTGGAAAAACACATTATAAGAAAAAGTAACAAATAATATGACGTTATTTATGGACAGTAGACACTTATTAGATAAAGATTTTAATACTATAACTTAATCTAATAACAAAATTTTTTATGTCAAATATTTTTTTAGATAATCAAATTAAAATAAAAACACAACATTGTAATTCGATAATATAATTTTTAATTAAATTTGATTATCTAAAAAAATATTCGACATAAAAAAATTTTGTTTTTAGAATAAGTTATAGTATTAAAATCTTTATCTAATAAGTGTCTACTGTCCATAAATAACGTCATATTATTTTTTACTTTTTTTTATAATGTGTTTTTCCACATGTTTGAAAAGCCATAAAAAATTTATTTTTTGACAAATTTCAAAAATTTTTTCTTCCCATAAATTTTCAATTTAAGCTTTACAAATATGCTATTGAAAATTTATTCTAACATTTATAGGTTAGATTCTGACATAGTGGTTTGCAAACATCCAAGAATAAATATGATCACATGATCAAAATTAAAAATTTTTAATTTTATATTATCACGCATAAATCACTTTTTAATACACTCTTTACAAAATTAATATATCTCACTCCGTTTAAGAATTATAGCAAAAACCGCGTGCCGGAGATTAATGAAAACCCTTTTTATATTTAAAAACGATTAATTAAATTTTAATTGCAATCTTTACTTGTTAGATATTTAAATTTAATTAAGTATTTTTAACTTGTATATAATTAATTAAAAAATAGCATTTAATAATTAATTAAATTGTTAACATTTAATAATCTGTAATATCACTCTGGTTTTAATGGTAGCAGAAAAAACAATTACTTACTAAAATTAATTCATTAATTACATCTATTTTTAAGTACTTTGACATCTAATAATAATAATAATAATAATAATAATAAAGTCATTATTTCATTAACTACAAAAATGTAAAGTCATTTATGTAATTGTGAAAAAACAAATTAATTAACAATATTTATTATTGTTAATTTTGTTTAATAATTTTGTTTATAGCTACTATTTAATTACTAAATAATATAGAGTCTATTTTATTCTTATTATATATACAATTGAAATTAAAATTATTATGTATATTATACAGTACATTATAGAGTCTATCTCTATAATGTACTGTATAATATACATGATAATTTTAATTTCAATTTTATATACATTTTTATGTATATACAATAAGCATCAATTTAACCATAATTTTGATATTAGATTTAAAAAATAAATAATATTTTTTGTGGAATTAGTGAAAAATTTACAAAAATCACTCGTTTTGTAGTATTTTTTTAAATAATTCTCTAAATTATTGTTAAGTATTTTTTATTTAATTATAATTTATAAATACAGTACAAGTATTAGTTAAAAATAGCTTAGATAAACATTATGTGGTTTTAATAAAGCTATACAGTTAAAAAAATTATAAAAACTATGAAAGTTACATTTATATATATTATGATAGACTTAGACATAATCAACTATTTATTTATTTAATGAATTTTTCTATAATTAATTAGTTTGACATAATCATTGATTGTGTGATTTAAACTAAATAAAATACTAAAACAGTTAACATTTATAGTTGTTTTCAAACATTACAAACTCTGTTTCTTTTATTAATATATCAAATATTTATCAAAATTATATTTGATTTATTATATTGAATAAATTAATAGAGATTCAGTATATTAATTATACTAAATTTAGGACTTTTAAAAGAAAATTATTAATAGATTAACTTATTATTAATTATAATATATTAACTTTATCATATAAGTTTATCATAAATTATACAATATATATATATTATATTTTATTATTTTTATTTTTTATATTATACCTGTAATTATTCTAAAGTATTTTAAAATTAAACATTTTATTAATATAGATTTAATTAATAAATTTAATATCATATCATATATTTTATATTTTAGTTACTATAATCGCAAAACGCTGTCGACTTATTACTTAATAAATAAATCGATTAATAAAATTATAGAATTTTAGTTTTTTTTAAAATTATGAATTTATAATTTATGGTGTATTTTCCAGATAACTATTATATTAAAATTTATTTAAACCATTTAAGACATTTAAAAATTATTTTTGCTTACTTTTTTGTGAATGTCAATTGAATTGTTTATTTAATTATTATTAATGACAGTACATATTACTGTATACAACAATCCTATAGGGAATAACATACATCTAAAACAATATAACAGTTAATTAAATTTTATTGCAAACTTTACTTATAAAAATAAAATTTTTAGTATTTAATAATTTGTAATATCTTGTGTTTTTATGGTAGAAAATAATTATTTACTGTAGAATTAATTTATTAGAGTATTTATTTAAAATTAATTAATACTCTAATCATAATTTTGCTTTAAATTTGCTTTATTTATGTATTAATAATTATATATAAAACAGTTATAATTGATATTTTATAAGAATTATTTTTATTGACTGTATAAGAATTATGTATAAAATATAACTATATTTATATTTTATAAAGATTTTTTAATATGTTATCATTTTTTGTTTAACCAAATTTTTGATATTAGTTTTTTATTTATAATAATAATTTTATTTAATTTTATTGTTAAATTTATATCTTAAAATTTTTGTTGTTGAAATGACTCGGTTTTTTTGTTTACAATGATTACATTATGATTGTTAATGTTTTTTTTAATAATTATAGTTTAGATAAGCATTAAGGGATTTGAATAAAACTATAGTTTAATTTTTTTAAACAATTTTTTTAATTTATTTAACAATTTTAGTGATAAAATAGTGATAATACAATCAAATATTTATTTAAACTGTAAGAATATTATTGTGTA